CCCCCCCCCCCCCCCCCCCCCGGCCACGGTCTTAGCGGGCTGCGGACTACAAGTCCCGGCAGGCGTCGCGGCGGCCCCAGAGCCCCGAGCGCCGGGGGCTTCGGGCGGCCTTGGCCGGTGGGCTCTGGTGCTGCGCGGCGAAGCGGGGCGGCCTGGCTGGTTGGCTGACTCTGATCAGCCTAGCTCGCTGGCCGGCCGCCGCACACACTGAGGCCGCAGTCGGCCGGCTGACAGACTCGGCTCTCTTCAGGCCCCCGGAGCCCCCACGCGAAGCAGGCGGGACGCAAACTTCGGGGCAAGTGGAGGGGTAGACAAGGGCACCAGGGCCGGGGACTGGCAGCGGCGGGGGCCCGGGGCGGCTTCCCGAGGAAGGTGACGAATGACAGGGGCGGGGCGGACCCCAGGGAGTGAGGGGGGAGTCAGTTTCGGGGCGGGCGCCCGGCCCAGCCTGTCCAGCCCCGCCTCCCCTCCCCCACAGGCCAGCTGCTCGAGTCCAAGGCTCAGCTCGGGGCCTTGCCGTTCGCCAGCCCTCCGACCCCATCCCTGGCGGCCCCAGACCCCAGGGAGCCCTGCAGGGCAGGAGCCAGGTCCCTGGGGCAGCTCTAGGGTCGTGGTCGTGGGCCCGGGAATGAGCTTGTGGACAGCGGGCGTGTAGATTGTGCGTCTTGGCATCTCCCCGCCGCCGCAGGGTCGGATGGCACAGGGCTTGCGCTGAAGCTCAGCAAGGCTCGAGGCCAGTCCGCAAGTCTGCAGACATCAGGGCTGCAGCCCACCAGTCTCTGGGTGGGCGGGGGGCGTCGGAACAGCTAGACAGGTGAGCTCTTGAGGGGCTCGGATTCTGTCTGATGCTATGTCAGAGGGGCTTTGCTTGTTTTTGAGCGTGTCTCTGGGTTGGTGGGGTGGTAGATAATCCTGCTTCTCCCTCTGAGCTCAGAGCCAATAGAGGCAATAAGCAAAAGTGCCAGACAGGGTCCTGGGGGGCCCAGCGGGGCTGGGGATGAGGCAGCGTGAGAGTGGGAGCCCTGGCAAAGCTGGTCCTTCCTGGCAGGTGCCCTCGTCTTGCCTTCTCACTTTGGCCTGTTGCTGCAGGTGCAACAAGTATCTGAAGGTTGTGCTCCCGTCCAAGATTGGCCCTGTGCAGTGGCTGGGTCGTGACACCGCAGTCTGCAGGGTGCCTGAGGGCTTCCATCTGGGTGGCCAAGATTTGGGTGATGACCTCCCTCTACTTCCTTCGGGCCTTCCCCCAGCTGGTGTGTTTGTACTGGGCCAAGTCGGGTCTCAGGGCTTCACCTGGTCTCTGAGGGGCCAGACTCCCTGGGCACCCAGGATGGCCACCTCTGCCTTAGCCAGAGCTGCCACATGACCGGAGACTGTGATTCACCAAGTCTTGCCAGTTGACTGTGCCACACATGGTGTGGATTTAAACAGCATCACCAGCCCAGCCGGAGGTGCCAGGGAAGGAGTGGCAGCCTCTGGTCGTGAGCAGTCAGCACACAACTTTATTCTTCTCAATAAAGCCAGTTTGCCAGCTCGCTAGCTAAATGGGGTTTCATCTCTGCAGCTTGTTGAAGTTTCTGCAATGAAATTGTCCAAATAGGGCAAACACCTTATTTCTCTACTGTCCCAATGTGTGCTTTAGAAATAGTTCTGCATTCCAAGAGCTGCAAGTTTCTTGTGAAAAGAGAAACTAGTAAACCAACAGAGCAGATCCAGGTGTCCACCTGTTTGGTTGCGATGGTAAATACTAAAAGTGTAAAACTGCCTTTTAAAAACCATGTTTCCCCAGACTTGCTGGCTGGCTACCTGTTTGGTTTGCTGTGTTCTGCGTCGGCAATCGCTTCTAGTTTCCAACAGGAAATCTTGGTGTCTGAGCAAACCTGTGACCCACGAAAGAACAGCTAAGCGTCCGGGATGCTGACGAGAGGCTGGTGTGTGCTGTAAGGTAAGTGCCGACTGCTCGCACCTGGAGCGCTTCAGGGTCATCGTAAACCCTCATAGTGACGGCCTCGGGGGGTTCCGGTGCCAGCCAGGGGTGGCCTGTGAGCTCTGAGGAAGACATTAAAGTACGGCGTTTCTGGCAAAGGAAGAATTCTTTGGGTGAATTTCGCACTTAAACGGGGGTCCCCTTCCTCCCTAGCCCCTCACGGTTTCTTCGCTGCCCCCCTGCTCCTGACCCCGATCCATTACCCGCTGGCCACCCCCTCTCCTCACACCCGGTGGCACCTTCCGAGGTGAGGTAGTGACCCCTGACACTGGGCAGGCCGGGGACCTCAGGTCACACGGAGCACGAGCGGCCATCTGCTGGGTCCTGGTGACAACAGTGACAAAGACCAAGCACGTGGCGGGAGGAAAGTAGCAGAGAGGCCTGGAAAGCCACCTGGCCTGCTTGACGAGGGTCCTACTATGCTGTGCTCAAGTGCTGAGGTCCGGGAGCCAGTAGGGCGAGCAGGGAGGTGTCTCTGGGGACCCTGCTCAGGCCCCAGGCCGGGTGACGCCAGGCTGGGTGCGGGTGCTGCGGCCGAGGGCCAGCCCCGGGCACCCCAGGGCTGTAGCGTGGAGGGGAGGTGGAGAGGCTCCCAGGCTGTGGGTGCCGCAGGGCGGGCTGCTCCTGTCTTCTCACCGTCCTCCTCAAGGGCCACTGGTCTGCGTGGGAGGAAGCCCAAGACTCAGCAAGTCCTTTTGGCTCTGTCCCCTGTGAGCTGGTGGGCTCCCGGGAGGGGCATCCTTGGGGAGCAGGGAGGCTGCTGGCCAGCACTGGAGAGCTGTCTGGCTGTGCTCAAATAGGGGTGTGAAGGCAGCAGGTGCTGGTCAGAGGTGCTTCTCGCGACAGGCTGGACTTCCCTGGTGCCCCGGGGGAGCCACTGCTGGCTGGGACTTGGTCCTGTTTTCCCACAGGCCCTGCTGGGCATCCTCCACCCTCTGTTCACTCTCTGACCATTCCCCTGAGGGCAGAGCCAGGCACTGGGCACGCCTGATATCCTGTTCAGGGAGTCAACTCCCCGTCCCCTGTCTTGATGGAGATGGTTCTGCTGCCTGTGGCCGGTGGGTCTGTAGGCCGCCAGGAGGGTGGGGGTGACAGCTGGCCCGGCAGGCGGAGGGGCTGGGCTCACAGGCAGAGGGCGTGCCACTGTGGCTGCAGAAGGACTACAGTGCCGGCTCGTGGGACTGGCGTCCTTTCCTGCCCCTTTATCGCAGCGTAGGGCCAGTTTCTGGCCCTGCAGATGGCCTGCCCCTTGCTAGCAGGGGTCTCTCGTTGGGCCTGTCTCCCCACACTTGTTTGGGTCTGTGGTTGCCTGGAACGAGGTCGAGTCTGACTGGCTCAACAGGCACGCCTGGGAAGGGCGAGAGGCAGCTCAGCACTGCCCACAGGCCACGACCAATTCTGGAGGCTCCCGGCGGGGAGGAGGGCATGTGCCATCTGGCTGAGGTTGGCAGCCTGGCATGACAGGGCCTGTGCCCTAAGCGGCAGCGCCACCACTAAGCCACTGGGCCACTGGCTCAGGATGTGCTGCTCTGCCTGAGTCAGACACGTGTGGCATCTGCTGACGGAGAGACACCAAACAGGAGGCCAAGGCCACGCGTGAATGGCCCGCCCCGCGAGGTGGCGGCCCACAGGCCCTCAGCCCTCGTCTGGGGCTCGCTGGCAGTGAAGAGCCACAGGCATTCTCGTGTGGCCGCCTTGCTGTGGCAGGAAGGACGGAGAAGCCCTGGTGCCCCATCTTTGCAGGGGCCGGAGACCACAGAGGGGAGGGTGGCTGGAGGGCGGCAGGAGACGGAGGTGGCATGGCCCCCGGTGGGGGGGGGGGTCAGCCGGCCAGGTGAATGAGCAGTGAGTGGTTTCCCTGAGGAGATTGGCCACCGGGTTGGGAAGGCACGTCCTTTTAGATCGTCCACCTGCGTCTGGAAGCCCTGGCGGTCTTGGGAGGGGTGAGGCAGGAGCGGTCACAGACGCCTGCCCGGGAGGCAGGGGGACTTGCAGAAGCCGAGCTGGCTGAGCAGTTCATGCTGCTGAGAATCTGAGGGTCCTTCACTTGGACCCTAGGCTGGGCATTGACCAGGAGCCTCGCCCTGTGGGCAGTGCCCCTCCCCTGCACACCCTGTGCTGGCGCAGACCTCAAGGTGGGGCTGGGCAGACGGTGGCCGTCAGATGACCTGTGGGCTCAGGCCTGGGATTCTGAGTTTTGGGCTGGGGGGGCGGGGTCCAGGTGGAGGGGTGACGTGTGGTTTTCCTTGTTGCTGGCTAAGCTCTGGGCCGGCCTGGTGGCCTGTGGCTTCACTGGGCCACTGGGCGCTAACAGGAGCCAGCTGCATCCCAGCCAGCCCCAAGGTCTCCCTCTGGCATTCCAGGAGCTCTGCAGTGTGACTGTTGGGTGCCCCAGGCTAGCGTCTCCCCAGCCTCGGGGTCCCGATGCTACTTGAGAGCCTGCTCCACTGCAGAGGCTCAGTCTCCAGAGATGGAGCGGCGACTGCCCCCTCCAGTCCTGGAGCCCTGAGCCCTCTCCCGCATCAAGTCCTGTTGATTTAACATCTTAGGCGTTGTCCAAAGCCATTCATGTCGTAAAAAAAATTTATTGAGGAATCACATATACAGGGAGGCTCAGGTCATAAGTGATCCAAGTTAGCAAAGTGAACACGCGTATAATTGGCACCCAGATCAGGAAGTAGCATGTTCCCCCGGGCCCAGGCCCCCTGTGACCGCCTCCGCTGCTGTCTCCCTGACTCTAGTGCCCTGGATTTGTCTGTCCCATTTGTGAGCTTTCTGTTGGTGGAATCAGGCTCGTGGCTTCTTTCCTTGAATATGCGTCTGTGAGCTTTGCCGTGTGTAGTGAAGTGGTTTGTGCTTTCTTGGAGGTAAATCACGTGTCACGACCCAGTTCACCCTTGAGCACTCGGGGCGGGCGCTGCTGTGAACAACGCCACTTCCGTCAGGGCCTGCCTGGGGTGGCCGGCCGACGCTTCTCTGGAGAAGGACCACGCAGCACTGCCCACTGGGCTGTGGGTGGCATCAGACCCTGTGTGTGTTAGCTGCTGGGGGCACCTGTTCCAGCGTTTTCCTGTTTTCTCTTGGGTTGTCTGCTTTGTGCATGAGATCTGCAGGCCCTCCTTCCACACTCCAGGTACAGGGCCTTTGTGGCTGGCGTACGTGTTGCTGCCTCTCCAGGCTTAAGTGCCGTCCAGCTTCTCAGTTGGCTACACAAAGAAAGTCTGCTTTCTTCGGAAAGTTTCATTGTCTTACCTTTCATGTTGATGTGTGCAATCCTGGTGGCCCCCTGTATGCCAGCCACCCAGAACCGAATCTGCTAGTGCGGGCAGACCCTCCTCTCAGCCGGGTCTTGTCCCCTGGTTCCCTGGGGACCTGCAGTCCTGTCAACAGGATGTCCCCCACACTTCTGCTCCAGCTCCCCACAGCGGCTGGCAGGCCCTTTTCAAAAGGTGTCCCACCCTCCCCCCAGGACGGGCCCACCTCTGCTTTTGCAGCTGGTCTCCCGTGCTGCTGGCGGGTGGCCACGTGGGCCCCCTTTGGTCTCTACTGCACAGGCCCCCCCTCCAGCCCCAGGGCATTCCCCGTGTTCCACCCCACCCCCGTTCCCATCCATCTCTCCCTGGAAGCCCTCTCAGAACTGGTGCAAGCCCGTGTGGCCTTCTCGATGTGGCCTGAGGGTGCCCTCTGCCCGCAGGTCTCCCACCATGGAGCCAGACCCCCAGGCGGGCGTGCAGGTGGGCATGCGCGTGGTACGCGGCGTGGACTGGAAGTGGGGCCAGCAGGACGGCGGCGAGGGCGGCGTGGGCACGGTGGTGGAGCTCGGCCGCCACGGCAGCCCTTCGACCCCCGACCGCACGGTGGTCGTGCAGTGGGACCACGGCACGCGCACCAACTACCGCGCGGGCTACCAGGGCGCGCATGACCTGCTGCTCTACGACAACGCCCAGATCGGTGCGAGGGCCCCGGGGGCGGGGCTGGAGGGGGCGGGGCCGGGCAGAGGGGCGGGGCCGCGCGGCGCCCCCTGACGCTGCCCGCCCGCAGGCGTCCGCCACCCCAACATTATCTGCGACTGCTGCAAGAAGCATGGGCTGCGGGGCATGCGCTGGAAGTGCCGCGTCTGCTTCGACTACGATCTCTGCACGCAGTGCTACATGCACAACAGGCACGACGTGGCCCACGCCTTCGAGCGCTACGAGACGGCCCACTCGCGCCCGTGAGTTCCCCTGCCGACCCGGTGTGGGCGCGGACTCTGACATCCGAGCGGCCTTGGTCCCGGAGGACTGGAGCTGCCTCCCGCTGGCCACTCCCCAGGGTACAGGTCGAGTCCTTCCTGAGCCATTTCCTGGAGGAGTGGCCAGGGTCGTGGTCACGCCCGGGGGGGCGGGGGTGGGCCTGGGCATTGACACCAGTCCCTACCCCCTGCGGAAGGCAACCGTGTCCACCGGGCAGGTCTGCGGAGGTGGGTGCTGTGAATGGGGCCTTCTCCGGTGTCCCGGGCCCCTCCTAGAGCCAGGCTCCCCAGTGGTCCCCCAGTGCCGCCGTAGCCGGGGCGCTGAGGGTGGCCTGCCTGGAGCGTGCTGCCGGCATCCGCACCTGTGGAGGTGCTGTTGGCCTGGCTGGCAGGCTCCCTTGCTGTGGTCGGGGTGGGGGGACCAGGCCGGGGAGGAGTCCACTGGGCTGCGTGGGTGCCCAGAGGTGCACCCCTGTTCCCTGCACTGTTGCCCTCGCCTCCTTGACACCCCACACACACGGAGGGGAGGGGTGTGCTCCACGTCCCAGCCGCCCCTGGCCAGTGTGGGAGCCAGGATCAGCTGTCCGGGCGCCTCCGACCAAGCCGGCCCTGCTGACTCCCTGCTTCCCACGTGCTGAGCTCCCCTGGGCCAGGCCGTGCGCTGAGCTCTGGGGTCAGCTCTAACGGGAGGCAGCAGGTCTGGCGTGAGCGCACGTAGAGGGTGTGTGGTGAGGGTGGGCCTGGGGCGCCCTTCTCGCCTGACATCGTGAAAGGTCCCCCAGGGAGTTCCCTGGCAGTCCGGTGGTTAGGACTCTGCATTCTCACTGCCGAGGGTGCGGGTTCAATCCCTGGTCGGGGAACTAAGATCCCACAAGCTGCACGGCGTGGCCAAATTGAAAAAAAAAAAAAAAGGTCTCCTGGAGGGACCTGGGCCACAGCCCCACTCTAGGCCCAGAGTGTGGAGGGCATTGACCTGTGGGGCCAGTTGCTCCGGGGGGAGGGAGAGCTGGGCCTGGGAGCTGGCGGCGCCCCATCCTTTAGATTCCAGGGCTGGGAGTGGAGGAGCAAGGCTGGCAGAGCCGGTCGCCTGCTCTGTTGCACGGTTGCTCCCATGGCCTGGGACCCACTCTCTCTCTCGTAGGGTCACGCTGAGTCCCCGCCAGGGCCTCCCAAGGATCCCGTTAAGGGGCATCTTCCAGGGAGCGAAGGTGGTTCGGGGCCCCGACTGGGAGTGGGGTTCGCAGGATGGTGAGTGGGGGTCCAGGGTGGGAAGGTGGGGGCTGGGCTGCCACTGGCTATGGCTCATCCCCGTGGCGCAGGCTTAGTCTGCTGGTGGGGCCACTGTCTCCCAGGAGGGGAAGGGAAGCCAGGCCGAGTGGTGGACATCCGTGGCTGGGATGTGGAGACGGGCCGGAGCGTGGCCAGTGTGACATGGGCCGACGGCACCACCAACGTGTACCGCGTGGGCCACAAGGGCAAGGTGGACCTCAAGTGTGTGGGCGAGGCAGCTGGCGGCTTCTACTACAGGGAGCATCTCCCGAGGCTCGGTACGGGCGGGCCCCACTGACACCCACCCAGTTGCTCTCTGTCCTGGCTGAGCCTCAGCGGCAGCCCTGGGCCAGGGATGGCCTGTGAAGTCACTGAGGGGAGGGGAGGGGTGGGGGCGGAGGGACCCTTGCGAGCTGGGCCTGCCACCTCACTCCCAGGCAAGCCCGCCGAGCTGCGGCGCAGGGTGAGCGCCGACGGCCAGCCCTTCCAGCACGGGGACAAGGTCAAGTGTCTGCTGGACGCGGACATCCTGAGGGACATGCAGGAAGGCCACGGCGGATGGAACCCCCGGATGGCCAAGGTGAGCCGCCCCACCTGCCAAATCCCCGTGCCCCCGCTCCCCACATCCTCTGGACCCCCGCCCTCGTGCTCCACCTGGCCACAGCCTCCGTGACCCGCCGCAGTGTATCGGACAGATGGGCACCGTACACCGCATCACGGACCGTGGGGACGTGCGTGTGCAGTTCAGCCACAAGACCCGCTGGACCTTCCACCCTGGGGCTCTCACCAAGGTGCATGGGGGGCCGGGCTGAGCCCCTCTGCTCACTTCCGTACCCCCTTTAATGTGCTGGCTTGGCCCTGGGAGTGCCTCCCTCGGGCCCTGAAGGAAGAGGGGAGGGCATGGTGGAGTCCAGAGGGGACTAGGTCCAAGGAGAGGGGACCCTGGTGTGAGGCACGGGGGTGGGGGCCGTGGGGAGCTGTTGGAAGCTGGGGCAGCAGGTCAGGCGCGAACATCTGTTCTGAGGGCCAGAGGGGCCTCTGCAGCCTCAGAGGCAGGAGGTGGCGGGTTGGGGTACTTTCTTAGGAGGGCGGGGTGGACCTTGGCCAGGGCTGGGGGTGGGGTGGGCGTGGTGAGAGCTGTCTGGGAAGCAGTATCCCTTGGATGAGGGATGGAGGGGGTGGGGGGCAGCGGCGTGTCCAGTGATGGCACCTGGGCGGGGGCAGCGCCAGCACTCGGCTCTGGGACTGCTGGGGCACATTTGCCTTCGAGGATGGGGGATGGTGGGGTCATAGGACAGGTGGTTTGTAGAGTGATCTCTGTACCCACGAGGGCACGGGTGAGGAGTGAGTTGCTAGGAAAGGTTTGGGGGTGGGGGAGAAGCAGCCCTGACCCCCTCTGTGCTGTTCCGGCCTGGCCCCCCGGTCATCCTGTGGGCCCCCCTCCCCCGAGCCAGGCTAGTCTGGTCTTGGCTGTGCTGCCCGCTCCCCGTCAGTGTGCAGGGACGGGCCCACCCTGGCCCGCACCCCCCCCACCCCCGCTGGCTTCTGTCCCGTCTAGATGCTGATGTCCGCTGCCTCTCTGGCTGTCACCCGCATGGCTCTGAGGCTAGGCCACCAAGGGCTGCCCTGGTGACCTGTCGCCCTTATCGGGCCAGACCCTCTGGTTGTGCTTTCGGGCAGGGGCTGGGGTCCTGTCCAGGCCAGCCTGTCCTGTGGAGCTGGATGGGGGCGCTTTCCTGCTCTACGACCCCAGGCAGCCACACCTGCCGGGGGCCCCTCAAATGCTTCTCTGTCACTCAGCACAACTCCTGCTCGGTGGGTGAAGTTGTGCGGGTCATTGACGACCTCGACATGGTGAAGCGGCTGCAGGCCGGGCATGGCGAGTGGACAGATGACATGGCCCCCGTGAGTCCCTCACCCCTACCTCCCCACCCCCAGCTCCCTCGCCCCTGGGAGGCCCACCTGAGACCCCGCCCTCTCCCCACCCAGGCTCTGGGCCACATCGGGAGAGTACTGAAGGTTTTCGGAGATGGGAACTTGGGTGTGCTGGTCAATGGTAAGCTGTGGACCTTCAGCCCCTCCTGCCTGGTGGCCTACCGGCCTGAGGAGGACGCCAACCTGGACGTGGCCGAGCGCGCCCGGGAGAACAAAAGTGAGGGCATCCAGCGCGGGCGGCTGGTGGGGGGCGGGGCCGCCCCTGGCCACCACCGAACCTCAGCCCTGCCCTCCCCAGGCTCCCTGAGTGTCGTCCTGGACAAGCTTCGAGCCCAGAAGAGTGATCTGGAGCACCCGGGGAGGCTGGTGGTGGAGGTGGCCCTGGGCAACGTGGCCCGGGCTCTGGACCTGCTGCGGCGGCACCCGGAGCAGGCAAGCTCCTGAGACCAGCCCCCGCCGCCCCCACCCCCGGCCCGGCCCCACCAGCCCCAGCGGGAGGGGCGGGGCCAGGGGCTAACCCTCTGCCCTCCCGGCAGGTGGACACCAAGAACCATGGCAGGACCGCCCTGCAGGTGGCTGCCTACCTAGGCCAGGTGGAGCTGGTGCGGCTGCTGCTGCAGGCTCGGGCGGGCGTGGACCTGCCGGACGACGAGGGCAGCACGGCACTGCACTACGCGGCGCTGGGGTGAGGCCTGGCCGGGGTGCGGGGGGCCGGGCCTGCAGGTCCAGCCAGTGGGCACAGCGCCCCTCCTGCTTCCTCTCCCGCCAGGAACCAGCCTGAGGCCGCCCGGGTGCTCCTGAGCTGGGGTTGCGGGGCCAACACTCTTAACGGCACCCGGAGCTCAGCGCTGCACGTGGCCGTGCAGAGGGGCTTCCTGGAGGTGGTGAGGGTCCTCTGTGAGTGCGGCTGTGACGTCAATCTGCCCGTGAGTGCTGGGTCCCATGGCCCTATCCCTGGGGTCAAGGAGGCAGTGGCCAAGATGTTCTTGCCAAGTGATCACTGGCCCACCACCGGCAGGACGCCCATGCTGACACGCCCCTGCACTGTGCCATCTCGGCGGGCACTGGCGCCAGCGGCATCGTGGAGGTCCTCACCGAGGTGCCGGGCATCGACGTCACTGCCACAAACAGCCAAGGCTTCACCCTGCTGCACCATGCATCCCTCAAAGGCCACACACTGTGAGTTTGGGGTGGACGCATAGCCAGCAGCCAGCTCTTGGCGGTGCTGCCGGGCCACTCTGGGGTCGCCCCTGACCCCAGACGCGTCTCCCTGCTCCCGCAGAGCGGTCAGAAGGATTCTGGCGCGGGCCCGGCAGCTGGTGGACGCCAAGAAGGAGGATGGGTTCACAGCGCTGCACCTGGCCGCCCTGAACGACCACAGGGAGGTGGCCCAGGTTCTCATCCGAGAGGTGTGGACGCAGGGTCCTGGGCAGGCCCGGGGACCGGGGTGTCAGGGCCCACTAGGGTCCCTGGGCTGAGCCTGTACCCCCCCCCCGCCCCCAGGGCCATTGTGACGTGAACGTTCGCAACCGGAAGCTCCAGTCCCCGCTGCACCTGGCTGTGCAGCAGGCCCACGTGGGGCTGGTGCCGCTGCTGGTGGACGCTGGCTGCAGCGCCAATGCCGAGGACGAGGAGGGGGACACGGCTCTGCATGTGGCACTGCAGCGCCACCAGCTGCTGCCCCTGGCGACTGATGGGGCCGGGGGGGACCCAGGGGCCTTGCAGCTGCTGTCAAGGGTGAGGAAGCGTGACTCTGGGTGCTTGAGAGGTGGGCCGTGGCACCTGGCTGCAGGCCCCTGGGTCCTCTGCCCACCTCCACCTTCAGGGACAGCCCTGACCAGGCTCTCTCAGGGTGGGACAGCCCGGGCCGCAGTGGTTTGCAGGCGGTGTCTTCTGCGACCCCAGTCACCGCCGTGTGGCCAATGTTCCTGAGATTCTGTGCTTCAGACCAGCCTGGGAAAGGGGGCGGGGTGCCATATGGGCGGGGGTCGTGTGTCAGGACCCGGGCCCCTCTGCTGGCAGGGGCCTTTACCTGCCTGCCTCCGGCGGCTCTGGGGGTCTCGGGCGGGGCCCAGGCCTCTGAAGCCCGGTGCCAGCCTGGCTCCCTCCAGGCCAGTGTTCCCAGGCGCCCACCCTCACGTCGTCTGTCCTGCCACCCAGCTACAGGCCTCGGGCCTTCCGGGCAGCACGGAGCTGACGGCGGGCGCGGCGGTCGCCTGCTTCTTGGCGCTGGAGGGCGCCGACCTGAGCTACGCCAACCACCGCGGCCGGAGCCCGCTGGACCTGGCAGCTGAGGGCCGCCTGCTCAAAGCCCTGCAGGGCTGTGCCCAGCGCTTCCGGTGAGCAGGCGGGGCCGGGGGCGGGTCCGCCCGCAGCCCTGGGCCCTTTCAAGCCCCTTCTGCCCACGCAGGGAGCGGCAGGCTGGCGGCGGCGGGGGCGCGGCCCAGGGCCCAAGGCTGGCGCTCAGTGCCCCCAACACTGTTACCAACCTGCACGTCGCTGCGCCGTCCGGGCCCGAGGCTGCCGAGTGCCTGGTGTGTTCGGAGCTGGCGTTGTTGGTGCTGTTCTCGCCTTGCCAGCACCGCACGGTGTGTGAGGGTGAGTGCAGGGGGCAGGGGCGGGGCGGGGGTGCGGCGACCGGGCTGGGGGGCCTCGCTCAGCCGTGCGCTCCCCCGCAGAGTGCGCCCGCAGGATGAAGAAGTGCATCAGGTGCCAGGCGGTCATCGTCAAGAAGCTGCGCCCAGGTGGGGCTCGGCGCCGCCCCCCCCCCCCCCGGTGTGGGCCGCTGCACGTCGCCCCGCGGTTCACGGCTCCGTTCCCTGCCATGGGCCACGCTCCTACCCGCGGTTCTCCCCCAAGCCCCGGGCCTCCACAGCCCCTGCCTCTGACCGGGACCCCTTCCCGCAGACGGCACGGAGGTGGTCAGCGCCGCCCCCGCCCCCGGCCCACCGCGGCAGCTGGTGGAGGAGCTGCAGAGCCGCTACCGGCAGATGGAGGAGCGCATCACCTGCCCCATCTGCATCGACAGCCACATCCGCCTCGTGTTCCAGTGCGGTCACGGCGCCTGCGCGCCCTGCGGCGCTGCGCTCAGCGCCTGCCCCATCTGCCGCCAGCCCATCCGCGACCGCATCCAGATCTTCGTGTAGCCCGCGCCCCCTGCCTCGTCCGGGGCCACGCCCCGCGACCGCCTTCGCAAGCCCCTACTCTGTATTTTATAAAAAGATTAATGGACTTTGCGCCTGGTTGCCTGCCTGGGGTGGGGCCGTGGGTCCCCCACCCCGGACCATCCCGACCTGGCCTCTTCCGCCGTTGGCCCGGCGCTGGGCTCTGCGCTTCGGCCAGAGGCCCCGCCTGGCCCCTCCCGACCTGCGTGTCCTGCTCTTCTTCCCAGGACTCACGGGTCCAGAGTCCTGCCAGGATCCCGGTCTCTGGGCCAGAAAGGTTGGGGCCCGGGCTCGCGGTGTCGTCCAAGAGCACTGGTTGGACCGAAACCCCAGCAGCGCCTCCTCCCTACGCCTGGGGCGGGCTGTGGAGACGACAGACTTTGGCCAAAGCAGAACCCGGTCTCGTGGCGGGCTGTGCAGTCCTAGCTAAGCGGGGAGTTGGGCGAGGCCTCTGATTCGAGCCAGAAGCCCCGGCAGGGTTTCAGGACCACTGAGTGTGGGAGGTGGAAGACGGACCTGGGGAGTAGGGCAGAGCACGGGACAGAGACGGTCGGTTTGTCGGCGCAAACGTTTAGCCATGGGGGCGGCGGGCACTGCCCTGGTCTGGGCCCCGCGGCCGGGCGCTTTCCAAGAACCACCGAAGTGCTCCCCCGGAGCCTCAAGGCTGCCAGCCAGCCACTTGGCGCTGACCCCGCTGGCCCGGCGCGCCACTGTCACTCTGGGCTCAAGGCCTGGGTGGAGAACGGGGAGTGCCAGACCCCTTCCCCTCCCCGCCCCCGCGCCTTCTCTGGCTCGGCCCAGCCCCCCCCAACCTCCCCCCCCACCCCCGGCCGCTCCGCCCCGGCGGGAGGCCCGTCCCACCCAGGATCCCGGTTCCCCAAGCCCAGAGGCGCCCTCGCCTACATCCCGCCTGGCTTAGCTCCTCAGTCAGGCATGACCTGAAAGTCGTCCCGTCGAGTCTTCCGTCCCCATGACACCCGGTGCCCCAGCACCAACCCAGGACCGTTCAGACTTAGGCCCTGCGCGCGCTCAGCAGGCAGCGCCTGGTGGGGATTCCTGCGGCGCCCCACCCCCGCTCCCCCGCCCCTTGTGCGCTGTCCCTGTCACCCTCCATGGGTCCTTCCGCTGGACCCTGCAGGTCCTCCTCCCTCCTGGCACCCCAAGCCTTGCTCCGCAGGCGCCTCCTTCTCCCTCTTCCTCAGCCCGGTACTCACTTGCCACGTCCCCTCCCGTCGCATCCCTCCCCTCTCGTGGGGTCCCTGTCAGCCAGCGCCTGCAGGGGACTTGTCCTGAGCTGGCCAGGATGGAGGTCCCACTGCCGGGTCTCATCCGGTGTCCAGCGGGACTCCGTTGGGGAGAAAAGCTGCCAAGTCAGTCAACTCTCAGCGAGTTTGGGGACCCGGCTGACCACTCCTGCCTAAGCCCAAGCCCCCGGTGTCCGTCCCTTCCCTGGCGTCCAGGGCCCTTCTCGCAACACCACCCCCACTCCCACCCCCGCCAAGTGACCCCGCCCAGTTGGCCCTGCCCAGGCCACCGCCACCGACCCACAGGCCCGGGTCCCCGCACCCCAGGCTGGAGGTGTCGGGGGTGCTCCCGACAGCAGGCGGCCAGCTGGTTCCCTTCGGGGCAGCCGCGCGCCCTCCCCCTCAGGGCTGTAACCCGAGCCGCCACCGCCGCGCTGCCCCGCCGCCTGAGCCCCGACAGCGATTCCGCAGGCGCCATGGGCCGCGGGGCCTGCGTCCCCTCAGCGGCGTCGGGGGCCCACGACCGGGCCCGCCTTCTCGGAGCCGTGCTGGGCGCGCTGTGCCTCCTCCCCACGCTCGTGCTGCTGGCCCGGCCGGGGGCCCTGGGGAACCGGCCCGTGGCGAGCGCAGCGCAGGTGAGAGCGGGCGCGGGAGCGGGCGAGTCGGCCCCGGCTGACCGTCCGGGCCTGAGTCGGCGAGTCCTCGTCCGTTGAAGGGGGGGTGGGGGGCAGCATCTGCCGGCAGCTCCGCCCACTCCGACCTGGCCTGTTTTTAGTAACGTTTTTCTTTCTGGTTGTTAAGTAGCCCTGGCTCGGGGTGGAAAACCGGAAAATGCCGAAAGACAAAGGGGTCCCTCCCTGGAGAGAGCGCCAGCGCTCCCTGGAGCGCGCGCCCTCCCATCCTTCGAGGTCCATTTCCTCGCGGCTTGGGGCTTGGGGACAGTCCCTGCTGCCTCCCCACGGGGCACTTGCTTCCCTCGAAGGGAGACGCTGTGCCCCCGACCGCGGGTGTGCTCACCACCCCAAGCGTTGGCCCGCCGCAACCCCCAGCGCCCCGCAGACGCCGCTACACGCTGACCCCGACGCGGCTGCACTGGGACCACTTCAACCTCACATACAGGTGCGACCCTGGCCCTGATTGGGGGGGCGGTGCTGCCTGGCTGCCACCCCTGACCATGACTCCCACCCCAGGATCCTCTCTTTCCCGAGGAACCTGCTCAGCCCCAGAGAGACCCGGCGGGGCCTGGCCGCCGCCTTCCGCATGTGGAGTGACGTGTCCCCCTTCAGCTTCCGCGAGGTGGCCCCTGAGCAGCCCAGCGACCTCCGCATAGGTGGGCGCCGTGCCCCCAGTCCCCGCCCCGCCCCAAGGCCCCCTTTCAGCCCCGTGCTCCTGCAGGCTTCTACCCGGTCAACCACACGGACTGCTTGGTCTCCCCGACGCACCACTGCTTCGACGGCCCCACGGGCGAGCTGGCCCACGCCTTCTTCCCCCCGCACGGCGGCATCCACTTCGACGACAGCGAGTACTGGGTCCTGGGCCCCACACGCTACAGCTGGAAGAAAGGTGACGCCGGCCTGGCCTCCCGTGGGGCCCTCGCACCACGGGCGGGCACAGCGGGAGGGCTTTGGGGGGGGGATCATGGCTGGGATTTGGGATCAGGGAGGCGGGCAGGGGCAGGCTGGGAGGAGGTCGTAAGCCTGGGTTCCGGGAGTCCTGAAGCCCCCTCCCCCCACACCAATGGAGCCCGAGCTGGAGCTGCATTCCTGGGGGCCAGCTCACCACCTCGCCAGCCTGGAACACTCTTATCTTCCCACGGCTGCCCGAGGGAGGCTCCCGGCACTGCAGCAGCTGTTCGGGCCTCGGGGGCAAGGCCGGCGGGCCGGCGGGGGGGTGGGGGGCGGCGGAGGGCTGGGCCGGGTCCCGGGCGCTGACCGGCGGGGCCCGCAGGCGTGTGGCTCACCGACCTGGTGCACGTGGCGGCCCACGAGATCGGCCACGCGCTGGGCCTGATGCACTCGCAGCATGGCCGGGCGCTCATGCACCTCAACGCCACGCTGCGTGGCTGGAAGGCGCTGTCGCAGGACGAGCTGTGGGGGTTGCACCGGCTCTACGGTGAGTGCGGGACCGGGGCGGGCGGGGCCAGGGGCCGGGGCGGCGGGCCCTGAGTCCAGGCTGCCCCCCTGCAGGCTGCCTTGACCGGCTGTTCGTGTGCGCGTCCTGGGCGCGGAGGGGTTTCTGCGACGCCCGCCAGAGGCTCATGAAGAGGCTGTGTCCCAGCAGCTGCGACTTCTGCTACGGTGAGCTTGGGTGTCAGGCACCGGCCTGCCTCTGGCCAGGGCGCCAGGTACTGATGTGGCCTCTGCCCCCGCCACCCCGTACGAGCAGAGTTCCCCTTCCCCACGGTGGCTGCCACCGCACCGCCCCCCAGGACCAAAACCCGGCTGGTGCCCGAGGGCAGGAATGTGACCTTCCGCTGCGGCCAGAAGATCCTCCACAAGAAAGGCAAAGTGTAGTGAGTGACCCTGCCTGGGCGCCCGAGGGTGGGCGGGGGACTCGGGACCCTGCCCAGCCCTCCGCCCTCCCCGCAGCTGGTACAAGGACCAGGAGCCCCTGGAGTTCTCCTACCCCGGCTACCTGGCGCTGGGCGACGCGCACCTGAGCATCATCGCCAACGCCATCAACGAGGGCACCTACACGTGCGTGGTGCGCCGGCGGCAGCGCGTGCTCAGCACCTACTCCTGGCGCGTCCGCCTGCGGAGTTGAACGCCGCCCCAGGGCTGAGGGTGCAGATAAAGCACTTTCTCTCTCAAGTCTCCTGGCCCTTTCTTGGGAGGTTGGGCGGCCAGTCTTGGCCCAAGGGGTGCGGAGCCTGCAGCCAGTTCCTTGCAGGGAGGATGCCGTCCACAGAGACAGGCCGAGAAGGGCTTCTCCAGGCCGGGCCTGGAACAGTGGGTAACCCGAGGCCCAGGCGCCAGCAGCATCACCAGGGCCAGCGCGCTGAGCCAGTGGGGCCGGGGGTCTCGCGTGGGCTCAGGGCTGGGAAGGGGGTGGGCCCTGTGGCTGCAAGGCCTCCCTGAAGGGAGTAGGGTGAGCGCGGGCAGCGTGTGTGTGTCGGGGAGGCTGGCGGTGCCCGCAGGAGGAACTAGCTCGGTGCAGCTGGGGGACCCGGGCAGTGACAAGTCCCCTTCTGCCCAACCGACACTGTCCAGCCAGACCAGTAGCTGGAGGACTCGCGGGCTGCAAAGAGCTGAGCCCACGGAGACTGCCTTTCACCCCTCTCTCTTTGAGTGTAGGGGCTGGGGCTCCCCCCGCACCCCGGGGAGGCCCAGGACCCAGCACAGGACCAGCCACTTAAAGAAGGAAATGCCAGACCTTTTCTCCAAGAATATTTTACTACATCTTAAAACACGTAACCACCTTGTACAAAAACCCGCTGTGGCTGCGAGCTCGCACGCCTGGCTCTGGGGCCCTGGGTGAGAGGCAGGAAGGTGCTGGAGCAGCAGCCTGAAGATTAAGAAGTACCAAACCCCCCGCAGCTCTGTTCCCAGTCATGGCCAGCACCCGACTGGGGTGGCCGCCGGTGGTCACCGTGGCTGAGTGTGTGTGTGTGGGTGTATGGGTGCCCGCCCTCTCCTCGCAGGGCAAGTCCGATACATCTGAAAAAACACAGCCTTTCCTCCCACGGCAAGGAAAACGTGATTTAATTCTACAAATTTACAAACCAAGATAAAGTGAAAACATGGAGAACCCCACGAGGCCAGCAGCCAGTCCTAGACTTGAGGTCGCGTCCACGGCAGCCCCGTGGCAGTGGCGGCACCTGGTCAGGGCAGGACGGGGGTCTGGACCCAGACGCCGCCTCCAGTGTCTGCCGCTGTCCCAGCTGGGCCTCAGCGGTTGGCGCTCCCCAAGGTGGGTCCGGGGTCAGCTCTGAGCCTTAGAACTTGAGGCTGAAGCCTGGGCCCGCGGCCGAGGCCCCCTGGTTCGTGGTTGTGAGGTGGAAGCCCGTCTCCTTCAGGTCGTCGTCACCCTGTGGACACAGCGGCTTCGTGGGGCCCCAGCCGGGCCAACCCCGCCTTGGGGACCCCGCTCCTCCCGCCAGCCCGCCCCTCACCAGCTGGCTGTAGCCCAGGCCTCCCTCTGGGGGCCGGGGGCTGGTGCCCCGCTTCACCCTCTGCTGTTCGCTCTTGGCGGGCCATGTGGGGAACATGGAGGGATCGATGGGGAGGGGGGTCTCGCGGAAATACTCGTGCTTGAGGCCATCCTCTGCGCTGACCCTCCGTCCAGGGAAGTAGGTCAGAAACCTGGGAGAACAAGGCACTTGGCAGGGGCGGGGCTGGGCGGGGAGGAGGCGGGCTGAGGGTGGGGTGCAGGGAGGGACGCACTTGTTCATGAGGTCGAAGCCCTGGTCTGAGAGCAGAGCCCCGAAGCGCTTGCGGAGGTTGTTATACGGGTACTCGGTGAAGGTCATCTTCTTGACTGCAGGGAGGTCATTGTAGCCGGGCCAGATTTTCTCACTGGGGGTCCCCAGGTCCTGAAACAGGGCGGCGTCTCAAATAGCCAGGCCCTGCAGGGAAGGGTCACCTGGCCCGGGCGCCTGCACACGTCCCCAGGGGCACCCACCTTGAACACTTTGTTGATTTGATCGATTTCCGACTTCCCAGGGAACAGCGGCTTCTGAGTCAGCAGCTCCCCAAAGATGCAGCCCACCGACCACATGTCCACGGCCGTGGAGTACTCCTGGGGGTCAGGAAGCACTCAGGGGGCTGGCGGGTCAGGGCGCCCAGGACAGGCTCCTGCACACCCACACTCACCTTGGCGCCGAGCAGCAGCTCGGGGGCACGGTACCACAAGGTCACGACCACCGGGGTGTAGGCCTTCAGAGGGGACCCATACTCCCGCGCCAGCCCGAAGTCCCCCACCTGTGAGGACAGAGGGCGGGCTGTGGGCGACTCCACGCCCGGGAGCTGGCCGCTCCGCGAGCCGCCCCCAGGGCTCACCTTGAGGATGCCGGCATGGCTCAGCAGCAGGTTGGATGTCTTGAGGTCTCGGTGCAGGATCCAGTTGTCGTGCAGGTGCTTCACCCCACGCAGCAGCTGGATCATCAGGGTCTTCACCTCCCCTGGATGGCGACAGGTCAGCGCATGGCTGGGCCCCCGGGTCTTCGGCTGCCTGAGCGGCCACCGAGCTTCCCGGCGCCCGGGCACCCACACGCACGCAGCGCGACAGGGTCAGCGTTCCAGGTCAGCACTCCCGCCCCGGGCGACCTGAGCGCAGGACGTCCCTCAGGGGGACCTGGGCGTAGGGCCCTACCCGGCAGGAAGGGCTGCTTCATGGTCTCCATGAGGCTCTTGAGGTCGTGCTCCACGTAGTTCATCACGATGTAGATCTTGTCCATGTTGCTGCCCACGACGATTTCCTAGGAAACGACAGCAGGTCCCATGGCCCGGGGGTCCCAGGCTGGCCCTGCCACCGCCGGCTCTCCCAGGAGACCTGAAATCCCAGGGCCCAGACGCTGGGTGACAGCAGGGATCTCCTAAGTGCGACGGCCACTGGGGTGTAGCACTTGGGGGCCCCGCGGGGCAGAGGCGCATGGGCCGGCGGCCTCACCCTGACGGTGACGATGTTGGGATGCTGCGCCTTGAGGATGGTGTTGATCTCCCTCAGCGATGTGATCGGGAAGCCTTCCTTCTCTTTCTCCATTTTTAGCCGCTTCAGAGCCACGATTTCATCTGAAAAGAAAGCAACGGGAAGACCCAACGTTGAGCAAACATTCTTCCACCCACACATTCTTTCTGTTTCATCGCTGTTCCCCCACGATCACGGGACATGGCCAACCAGCCTCCCCCAGGTGCTCAGGGCTTCGACTGCTTCTCTGAGGCCCCGCCAAGGGTGCACACCTGCCTGAGGCTGCAAGCAAGCAACACAGAGCCTCATGGTCAGGCCGACTTCTGGCCTCTGAAGGCGCCAAGGGGCCAGCTGCTCAGGTGTGCACCAGTCAGATAAGGCAAGGCTGAGGCCCAGCACCAGGGGAGGGGCGACGACCAGGATAGTAGGGAACTATACCCAGTGACCCTGACACTGAAGGTGCCAGCGCTCCGCGGTGCTGGCTGGCACTCTGGGCCACCCGGTCCATGCGCCACACCACCCCTTCCCTTTGGGGGACCATCCTGGGACTCGCCCCACCTGTTTTCTTGTCCTTTGCTCTGTACACCACCCCATAAGTGCCTTCTTCAATCCTGTTCAGGCACTGGAATTCCTCCACACTCCGACAGCCCTGAGAGGAAGCCAGCATGAGGGCGCGGCAGCGGGGCCACACCCCAGAGGGAAGCCCCGCGGCCGAGAGGGAAGCCCCGCTGGACAGACGTGTCAGGAGGGCCCGCAGGGCGCGTGGGCAGAGGCCCGGGAACGCTCTCCTCGCTTCAGTGAGCACGTGCCCCTTTATCCAAAAGCCAGCCCTGGGCAACCCCCCACCCCGCCACCTCCAGCCTCCTCATTCTAAGATGAGGCTGGGACAGGAGTGGCCCTGTGCACCGCACCCCCAGCTGGCGCAGGAAACCCCCAGAAGCTGGGGCGGCACTTGGGGCTGGGCCACTGGCCTTGGGGCGCCCGGAGCACCTGAGGCCGCTCACCCTCTGGAGACCTGCCCTCTCCAACCCCCTCCCTCCAGCATCATTGTTACCGACTTTTCCCAACAGAAAACCTGGGCTGACTCATAGCACTGCCCTCTGACCCCTGCACAGCGACTGGGCGAGGGGAGCTGGTGCCCACTCAGCCCAGGCCGAGGCAGAAGTGACCGCAGAGCTGACCGCCTGCCAGGCTGCCGTCCCCTCCACATGGGGCCCCTGGCGGGCGTCCTGGCTGCGGACGCAGGAACTGTCCCCCACCCCCCAAGACTGCTGGACAAGAGGCTGGACCATGATCAGGGACACGTGAGAGGCCAGTGGCCGGGCCCGCCCACTGACAGACACCCAGAGCAGGGACCCAGCTTCTGCTCTCAGCAACCGGCCCCGTCCACAAGCAGCAAGGCAGAGCCAGGCCTGGGGCGGGGAGGGCACCTGACCTGCAGGGCTGGCAGGTACTTGGGCAGCTCCTGTTTGAGCTCGATGGGTGACAGGGCTGGGGAGTCGGGCACGAAGTCCCCCTCGGTGAGGGCGCTGCTCTGGGGGGTGCCCTCGCCCACCTCCTCTTCCCCCTCTTCGCTCTCTCCAGAATCGCGGTCAAATCGTGACTCTGGAACTTCAAAAGTTCAACCCAATTACGAACCAAGAACAAGCAAGTGTGGCTACCCCACCCGTTCTGGGTGGGGGGACAGCGAGTGCAGAAAGAAGCCATATTGAGAGCCCCGGGGGGCCGGGCACAGGCTGCGCGTCCCACCGCCCTGGACAGAGGGCACTGTGTCTTGGACCCACTGGCCGGGCTGGGACCACTGTGAACCACTGACCGGTCGCGAGCCACAAGGCCCGCCCAAAACTTGCGGCCACTGGCCAGAGGGCTTGGCCTGGCTGCCTGTGGAGGCCATGCAGCCCCTGGTCAGCAACGGCCCTGTGGTCGGAGTTGAACTGGCGTTTCCCAGCCTCCCCTGGTGTCCAAGCCCATTACTCTCAGGATGGCGCTCATTCAGCACTGTCCCTTCTAAGGGACGCTGGCCCCCATGGGCCCAAGCGGCCAAGTGCAGGGTGCTGGGGGAAGCAGCTCCCCGCGAGCCAGCTGGGTCCTGGGACGCACCAGCCAGGCGCTCCCTGTAGCTCCCGGGGCACGATGTGCCTCTGGGAAAGGATATTTCTTAGGTCGCTGCCCCGCTCACGACTCAAACATGAGTCAGCACCCAGGTCAGGGGCAGACGAGGAGGCGGTGAAGCACCACTCGGGGGGCCTCTCACCAACCAAGACGTGGTTTTCATTCTCTCGCTCCTCCTCTTCACTCATTTCTTCTTCACTCACTTCCTCTGTAACGGAAACAGGTGTCACCTCAGACCCTCCACAAGCAGAAACGCGGTCCGCGTTGGCCGACAAGGAAGCAAGGGCGCCCTATGTCGTTGACTCGGGAGCCTCATGTAAGTCCCAGACAGCCAGGCGTTTCCGATCTGGATACATTTTTACTGACATTTCACATCACCCACCTGCAGCTGCTACGCTCTTACGGAGTTAAACCGCGTGCGCGCGTGCGGGCGGGGCGTGCGCGCGGGGCAGGGAGTGCGTGCGCGCTCACCGGCTGACTGTCCGGATGCGTCCTCGGAGTTGCTTCCGGTCTCCTCCTCCTCCTCCTCCTCCTCCCCCTCCGACTCTTCGCTGCTGCTCCCCTCCTCCTCCTCCTCCTCCTCCTCTTCTTCCTCTTCCTCCTCCTCCTCGGAACCGGACCCTGACTCCGCTTCAGGAAGGAAACAGCCCGCAGTGAGCTTCGGCCCCGGGGGGCCACGGACCTGGGCGGGGCCGGGCGCGCCGCTACCTGACGAGGACTCCGCTGAGCTGGTCCTCCTCTCGCTGCCGCTGATGTCCTGCAGGTCGGACAGCAGGTCTCTCTCTTCCACTTTCTCTTCTTTTACTTATGGAACAAACCATCAAAGGTGAATGTGGGAAAACGTCTGAAACTAACAAGACTCGATGGCGCTTCTCACACGAAGACTAACTTCGGTTTGTATGGGAGACAGCTCACCCAGATACCCGGGAGGAAGGCGACTCTTCAAAAGACCAGTAACAAGCGTCTGTGCCGATGAACGTATCCGTGCACAGCCCCTCTCCCACACCACGGCAGCGCTTAGCGCCTCGCGGTGCGAAGCAGCAGATACTTTCTGTGCTCGGCGCCCCTCGCAAAGACCGCCACACGCCGGCCCTGCTAGCGCCGTGCAGCCTCACCTGGCTTCCGGCTGTCCCCGAGCTCAAACCTCTCTCGAGGCGGCCGGAGTGGGCTCCGACTCCAGTGGCTGGCTTTCACCTTGTCGCCATAGTCCTCTCTCGCTGTCCGGTGATGTGCAGACACTAGGCACGAGAACAGAAAGGAGGTGGTGCCGGCAGCCCCCTTTCCCACGGCACACGCGCCCCCACCCCCGCACAGCGCCGGAATGGAGCACAGGAAGCGACCAGAGGACCCAGGTGGGCTTTCTAGACTGCTCTCTATTGGTCAAAAGGCAGGGGCCAGAACCCACCTCTCCAGCCTGGGCCTGACCCCCAGTGAGTGGACCCCAGACACAGCTGTCTGGGGCGGACAGCCCACACCCCAGGAGCCGCAGGGTCGTCCGGCCCCGCCCCTCGCCCCACCTCCCCGCCGGGCCCCGCCCTCGCCCCACCTTCCCGCCGGGCCTCCCGCTCCTTGCGCCGCTCCTCGGCCCGCCGCTCCCGCTCCTTCTGCTCCCTCTGCTCCTTCTGCTGCTCCCGCATCTTGCGCTCCCGTTCTCGCTTCCTTTCTAGCTGCTCGAGGCGGTCCCTGGAACCAGCATACGCCACATTTTCACCCCGGAGCAGGCAGTTCTCCTTTTTGCCCCCAGTGCTTTTGCTCGCGTTTATAAACCACTTCTCTGGGCCGTTCAACCCTCAGAGAGCTTTTTAAAAAGCAGAACACACACGCATGCGCGTCCTGGGAACCTCGATCCTAAAGCGTCACACGGAAGAAAGTGCCGGTACAAGGAGGTAACAACAACTGCCTGGGGCAGAAACCCCACTGGCTCCAGAACATTCTGCTCGCCAGCTCTACCGAGACTCGCCAAGAGGATTTCCCTCCGTGCACACAATGTAACTCCACCTCTACCAGAAGCCAAGTCTTTCTGGGCCCCCAAGGGCTGGGAGAGCCCATCTGAGGAAGGGCGGGGGAGCCACAGACCTGGGCCGGGCGCCCTGCGGATCCTGGGGCCAGCTGTCGTGTGGGGGTCAGGAAATATCAGTGACCAGTGACCGAAACACGTGGGGTCGGCGGCACCGGACGCCAAAAAGTTAAAACTCATCAGTCCGTTAACCCTCAGGTCCCTACAGGGTTAAGTCCAAATACAACTTTAAAAGCGAACACGTTAAACAAAAAAGGCAGCATTATACACAGAGAAATGAGCACAAGCAAAAAACGGTGAGAGCGCAACCAGGGTCGCCAGTACTTTCCACATAGTCAGACGTCACCACTGGAGGGGCCGGACCACGGCTACTGGGCTCCACGCACTGTTTCATAAATGCCAGCGAATCCAAACTACCCGCAAGTAAAAGCGGAAGGAGACTTCCCTGGCGGCCCAGTGGTTAGGCCGCCGCATTTCCAGTGCAGGGGGTGCGGTTTCGGTTTCATGCCGCGCAGTATGGCAAAACAAACACAAAAAGTGGAGGTATAACTTACATATAGAATTCAACCAGCGAGCTCAGTTTCTCTGAACACATCCCTGGAATCGGGCAACCATCACAAGCCGGCTTCAGGACACTCCCAGCACCCACTGATCGTACCGCCTGTGGCCCCCCCGCCCCCCACCCCGTCCCCCACCTCCCAAGCCTGCTTCTCCCTGCTCTGCATTTCCCAACGTTTCTTCGGCTTGCTTTGGGATGAGTTTGCTTTTCTTCTGGTTTCTTTGGGTAGAAGGTTAGGTTATTGATTGGACAACTTCCTTTTCTGCTTTCTGGTTTAGCTGCTTACAGCTGAAAACACTTCACTCCAAGCACAGCTGGAGCTGCATCCCTAGGTTTTGACACACTGTCTTTGCTCTCATCTTGTTCAAAATATTTTTAGGGAATTCCCTGGTGGTCCAGTGGTTAGGACTTGGCGCTTCCACTGCTGGGGCCTGGGTTTGATCCCTAGTCAGGGTACTAAGACCCTACAAGCTTTGAGTCGCGACCAAAAAAAGTTCAAAATATTTTGTTTTTCCTTACAATTTTTTCTTCGGGCCATGGGTTTTTCACAAACGGGTTGTTAGATTCCCAACATTTGAGGATTTCCCCAGGTTTCGTTCTGTTGCTTTTTCTTTAATAGAAATTTATTTTTGGCTGTGTTGTGTCTTTGTTGCTGCGTGTGGGCTTTCTCTAGTTGCGGCGCGCGGGGGCTGCTCTTTGTTGCGGCGCGCGGGCTTCTCGTTGTGGTGGCTTCTCTTGTTGCGGAGCATGGGCTCTAGGCACGTAGGCTTCCGCAGTTGTGGCTCACGGGCTCAGCAGTTCTGGCTCACGGGCTCTAGAGCGCAGGCTCAGTAGCTGTGGCACAAGGGCTTAGTTGCTCCGCAGCATGTGGGATATTCCTGGACCAGGGCTCAAACCCGTGTCCCCTGCATTGGCAGGTGGATTCTTAACCCCTGCGCCACCAGGGAAGCCCTGTTGCTGACTTCTAATTGAATTCTTCTGTGATAAGAGGGCATACTTTGTATGGCCTCAATTCTTTTAAATTTCAGACTTGTTCCATGGCCCGGCACACGGTCTCTGTTGAAAACTCATCCCAGGAGCTCTTGCGGCAATCCATGTCCTGCAGCTGTGGCTGCAGTGCTGTGTCCACCTGTCCCCCAGCCTCTGTTCACCTGGGAAGGCCTTTATTTGCCCCTCACTTCTGAGGCTGGCTGTGCTGGATACAGAATTCTGGGCTGGCTGGGTTCCTGCCTGTGGCCCCCCGGTTTCTGATGAGAAGCACCCCGCTCGCTGTTGCCCTTCATGAATTTCTCACTAACTTCCCCAGTGTGACTGTGACTTTGTACTTATCCTACCTGGCGCTCACTGAGTTTCTCGGATGTGTAGATAAAACGGTTTTCATCAAATCTGGGAAGTACTCAAGTCATTATTTAAAAGCCACCTCTGTGCACCTCCTTCCCTCCCACACGCCGCACGTGTGCTGGTACACTGGATGCTGTTCCACAGATCTTGAGATTGAAGATCCTTTCCTCTCTGTCTTCAGAAGGCATGAAGTCTGTTGCTGCATCTTCAGGTTCCTTGCTTCCAAGTCTTCGCCAAATCTGGAAACGCTGTCTACTATGTCTTTCTTCCTTAATACGGGATCAAACCTTCTTACGTCTTTGTATGTCTCAAAACTTCTTGTTGAAAACTGGACATTCTAGGTAACATCTTGCAGCTACCCTGCACTCGAATTTTTCCTCCCAGTTGTTCCTGTTTAGTAAGCCGCTGGGCTAATGACCCTGTGAACTCTTGTCTCCCTTGTACAATGTGGCCACTGCTGCATTTTCCATGTGCTCCTCTTTATTTTCAAGCTTGGCTTCCTTGGGGTCACCACCGTGTCTGCACAGCTGTGTGACTGGACCACACTGGACAGAGCACAGGGCTTAGCAAACGTGAGTGTGTCATGTGCCAGCAGCCAGGACACTGAAGGCTCTGCTGGCCTCACAGTGGCCTTAGACCCCAACCTCCCAGCTGCATCTCTCACACTCCGAGTCCTGAGAACAAAGGCTCTCCTCACACCTGCTGTACCCGCCCTCTGTTCGGCCCTGGCTGCTGGGAACGTCAGCACCTTCCAGCCTGCTACTTCCCTTCCGTGGAGCAGCACAGCTCTCAAGCTCTCTCTGGAAATGACTGCAGGACCCAGAGGTGGCCCTAGGACTCACACCTGGGCCACGCAGAACAGATCTGGGGTGAACAGATGCTCTCTCCTGGAACTCTAAGCCCGCACAGAGGCACCTGGAGACGAAGGCCTAGGAGTCTGGTATCCCAGCTCCCGGGCCATTTCAAGGCCTTTGGGATTGCCTTTGTCACTTCTCCTTTTGTTTCTTGTTTGGAAGAACCAGAGTCTATTTCTGCTGCGACCCCAGACAACCCTAAGCAACACATCTTGTTGGTCTTCCTGGACAAGGCCCCCTGGAACAGAGCTGGTGCAGAGCAGGTGCTCCGCACACACCTGCCGAGTGAGCAGACGGGGAATCGCCCACACCCCAGGCCTCCCCGCACTGACTCTGCCTCAGGACTCATGTGCAGGGACTGGCTGCCCCCAGAGTGGCTCCACCCGGGCCTGGACAGCAGCCCTCGCCCTCCTCTCCGGGGGCGCCGGGCTCGCGTGTGGACAGCCGCTCCCCTCCTCCAGCCACCCGCCACCCCTCCCTCCTCTCTCTCCTTCCCCTACGGCTGTATGTCCAGCCCAAACCTTCGCTCCTCGCCTCTTGATTCCTCTTGGACCCCCAGCTCTGTCCAGCAGCACCCATCCCTGCAGGCCCGTGTCACAGGCGGGCGCGGAGGCACCGCCCGCCCGGGCCGCCGGCCTCACCTCTCCCTCCGGGAGTGCTCCCGCGCCAGCTCCCTCCGCTTCTGTCGCTCCCACTCCCGCCGGGCCTTATCCTGCTCTTCTCGGTGCCGTTTACGGCGCTCGTGCTCTCTCTCCTTCTCCTTCACTCTGGCATGCTTCCCTAGTGGCAAACAGGATGTGTCATACCAAGAAACTTAACCTCCAGAAACTCAACTTGAAAATACCCAGTGAAGAAAAGAAAAAATATCTAATCATTGACTTGGAGAAACAATCATGACTTTCTGTTAAAAAAAAAAAAAAAAAAGGAGAATGAAAATATAACACTCTATGCAGTGAGCCTCCAGTTAAGAAAAAACAAAAATAACGTGATTATCACTGAACAGAACTGTGATCTCCAGCTTTCTTTCTAATTTTCTGTATTAAATAAACTGTGATTAGACTGTATTAGTTTCACGATTTAAAAAGAAATCACCACTTGTAAAGGATACGGGACAAAGCTTATCTCCTTTTAGTTTCTACATTACGTTATACACCACGTTAGCCAACTGAGTTTAACAATGAGATTTATATCAGGTCCCAGGCCCAGTTTTCCCAACACCCCTAAGAAGCTCTTTAATACTGGTATGAGATAAAACCCATTATTTCAGTTTTATCAAGCATCTGTTTCTTAGTTAAAGCAATTTAGCATTGAAGACTGTGTTTTCCCTTGTTGAATTAAGACAATTCTGTAGGTAGACAAACTACCCCAGAACAATGCAATCGGGGGAAGCACACAGAAGAAAACATAGAAGGAAAACAATGTATCTATTCAGAATGATCTACAATAAATTTATGTTGTTAGCTAAAATTTTATTCTCTTCGCTTTCAACTGTGCTTTGGAGAAGGCAGTAGATCATGAAATAGGAACGAGACCCCATCTGAACACAATACAAAAGAAAACAAATGCTCTGTACCCCCTTCTGTGGAATGACTACGATGCCTACGTTTCTCTTTTCTCTTTTCATCTTTCCTGTGATGAGCTTTTTCTTTCCGAGACATTTGCTGGGGTGGTTTGATAGCCAAAGAATCATCTTCCTCTCCTCTGAAATAAGACACCACAGCATTACATCACGCCTGAGAAAGTAATGTGAGGAGCACCGGGGTATCGTGGAGTGTCTTCAACCCAGAGAGATGACGGGTTCAGAACAGACAGGTGAACCTCAACCATCAGCTAAAAGATGATGTTCATTATGAAACCTAAGCCCAAACTGCATATTAAATACAGATTCAGATGGAAAGTGTTAAGTGGGGAATCAATGTGAAACATGGAATAGAAAGGCCTCTCTGAGGAACTTTTAGGGTATTCATGATCTTGGTCATGGGGATAGTTTACAGGTATATAACAACGTATCAAACCACACACCTGAAATCTGTGCAGTTTGTCATTTACACCATAATAAAGTTGTTAAAAAAGGTCCCACAATTTTAATCAAACTTAATGATCTCAAAAGGTCGTTTAACAATATTTTCAACTGATTATATAACCAAAATCTTGGAAGAATTCACACCCTATGCCTTTTTGCCTTAATTTCTGGTTATGTTGTTTTTAACTGCTTGATGATGAACATGAGAAGAAAACAAGTGGGGAGAAAGCACAGCACGGGAAGAAACGTCAGAACATACAGACCTCGGTAGGACCGTTTCTGTATCAAGGCCTTGCTCCACGTATCTTTCAGCAGCTACTTTGGTTTATTTGTAGATAATTTTAGACAGTAATTATACAAATCATCACAAACACACAGCAGAATTCTTTACATGTACCACGTGAATGGTGTTCACTTCACTGCAGAATGATCACAAAGAAAGGAACACACGCTCAGGCTTTTCCTAAGAAGAGGGGAGAGCTGGTAACTGACACCACACAAGAGTCATTTCAATCTAGAGGTAAACCTCAGGTCATGACCTCAAACTTTCAAAATAACACTGAGAAGGGCCAGCCAGGACCGTGGCCCTGTCATGGGCTCAGCCTGCCTCCTCAGGGGAGCGCACGTGCAGCCGCTGGGCTCCTCCAGCGCCACGGCCCTCTCACCTGTCCTCCATGGAGCCCTCTCTTCTATACGGCGAGTTCCTTATCGTTATCTCCATGCGGTGGTCCCTCAGCTCCCCCTCCTCCAGGGAATCCCGCTTGGAATCCCGGTCATCAGACTAAGAAGCAAGGAGAAAGCAATTTTCCTTACAGATAAGCCTATTTTTCATAATACTCAAACCTTGCCACTATCCGAAAACAAACTTTCATACACACTTTGAGTGAACCAATGTTATAAAATATAAAAAACTTTCATTCAGATCCCGTTGATTTTTCGTGTAACTCTCTGTAACCCAGAACCTGAGAAATTTAACACCAGCGTATATGACAGGGGACATTAGACTCTGTGACAAGTCTGTTAGCTGTTTATATTAGCCAGAACTGAGCCTTAAAGCATATTTTATACACCAAATACTTTACAGTATCTCAAAAAGTACTCATAAATACGTAAGAAAGGTCTGCTGCTAAACTTATCAGAAGAGGAATGTCTTTCAATGCCCCTTATCAAATTACTAAAGTTTTCCTATGTTATTAGGCAAACCAAGAAAGGTGTAAAACAATAATACTAATTTCAAGGCAGCTTCCTACTATACTAAAAATACTTGGAAATGGTGTCCTAAACATAATGATGAAATGAGAAAAATAAGCCCAACCGCACTAGTGATTTTAGGTTCAAAATACTTTATTTTCCACGTAGCTGTGGTCATCTATATGCAGCTTTAGTACGTTATCGATCTGCTGTCAATGTAAACTGAGTATCTGAATGTTTTTGTTAATTTTTAGAATAGATTTTGGGCTCACCTGCGACATTTGGAAGTACAAAAGAACTTCACCGAAGAAGCGTTGTTCTAATGGAAAAATGAGGGCAAAGAAATTAAATCTCCTTTAAAAAAAACACTTACTTAAAAAACATGGCTTACATTTTTTAAGCGTTTTATCTCTGCTTTCTCCTCTTGTTCCTTCCGTCGTTTCTTTTCCTGAAGAATTTCATCTAAAGTTTTCACTTTCCAAGAGTCCTTTTCATCACCCATTTGAGTTAAAACACTGCAAAAAGGACGAAGAATTCAAACTGTGTCAGGACACAGCAAACTGTGGTTTGATGCTATGCTGTTTCTGAACACCTGCGCCTTGCCACTTCTGAGCGCTTCAGTACAAATCTCTGTTAAGAGGGATGGGCTCTGCCAGAAATAAACCCACACACCTATGGTCAATTAATCTTCGACAAAAGAGGCAAGAATATACAATAGGAAAAAGACAGTCTCTTCAGCAAGCAGTGCTGGGAAAGCTGGGCAGCTGCATGTAAATCAATGAAGTTAGAACACACCCTCACACCATACACAGAAATAAACTCAAAATGGCTTAAAGCCTTAAACAGAAGACATGACACTCTAAACCTCCTAGAAGAGATCACAGGCAAAACATTCTCTGACATAAATGGCACCAGTGTTTTCTTAGGTCAGTCTCCCAAGGCAACAGAAATAAAGCAAAAATAAACAAATAGAACCTAATCAAACTTACAAGCTTTTACACAGCAAAGGAAACCATAAACAAAACGAAAAGACAACCTACAGACTGGCTGAAAACATTTGCAAACGATGTGACTGACAGGGCTTAATTTGCAAAATATACAAACAGCTCATACAACTCAACAACAAAAAACCAAACAACCCAACTGAAAAAAGGACAGAGAGCTTCCCTAGTGGCGCAGTGGTTAAGAGTCCGCCTGCCGATGCAGGGGACACGGGTTCGTGCCCCGGTCCGGGAAGATCCCACATGCCGCGGAGTGGCTGGGCCCGTGAGCCATGGCCGCTGAGCCTGCAGGTCCGGAGCCTGTGCTCCGCAACGGGAGAGGCCACAACAGTGAGAGGCCCGCGTACCGCAAACAAACAAACAAACAAACAAAAAGGACAGAAGACCTAAATAGACGTTACTCCAAAGAAGAAAACAAATGGCCAATAGGCACATGTAAAGATGTTCAACATCGATAATTATTAGAGAAATGCAAATCAAAACTACAACAAGGTACCACCTCACATCCGTCAGAATGGCCATCAATAACAAATGCTAGAGAGGGTATGGAAAAAAGGGAAACGTCCTACACTGTTAGTAAGAATGTAAGTTGGCTTAGCCACTACGCAGAACAGTATGGAGGTTCCTCAGAAAACTAAAAATAGAACTACCATATGATCCAGCAATCCCACTGCTGGGCATATATCCAGGCAAAACTATAATTAAAAAGGATACACACACCTCCTCCCCCATGTTCACAGCAGCACTATTTACACTAGCCAAGATATGGAAGCAACCTAAATGTCCATCGACAGATGAAAGGATAAAGATGCGGTACGTATATACAATAGACTATTACTCAGCCATAAAAAGGAACGAAATACATTTTCAAGGATGCTGCCTGGAGAGAGCAATGTGTTACTGAGACCATTTGGACTACATATGCGAATGAACCCGTTAAGGCCTCTATATAAACTTTCCAGAGCCTGGTGGGCAGGTGTGGAGATCTACTCATCTTGTGGACACCCAAGACAAGCCTCTATTACCTCCTATTGGTAGAACCTATGCGGGCGCCAGATGGCAAGGCGGAGACGCAGTGAGCAGCCCCAGCTCCAGCACCTCAGAGTTTGGAAGGATGGGACTGGAACTGGAAGACAGCTGCTCAAAGACCACCAGAGGACCCCATTAGGATGCAGAATGTTCTACGATGCACAGAATTTATGACTATCTTTGGGAAACCACAACTTTCAAAAGTCCACTTAATTAGAAAGACACTGCCACTATTGCCACTGACTCCAGGGCCATGCTGTATTTGCTCTGATCTGCCCCAGCAACATGGATGCCCAGGACCCTGCTTCTCAATATCCACAGGTAGAGACTGGACAATGGCCTGTCTCTTTAATTCTGCTGCCAAAAAATCGGTTCCTGTGCCTGTAGAAATGGCAAAAATGTGCCCCCCCCCAAATGCAGTCTCTGCCTCACTTCCAGCCTTCAAATCTCACGTATGTGTATCTGACTGGCTGAATGTAAATCACATTGAGAACCCTAGTTTCATGGGAGTCTGGAAAACACAGTATTCAGCGTTCCACTCTCTTCCTTTCAGAAAGGCAAACTAGAAGAAGGGTGAAGTGGATATTGGGCACAGGTCTACTGTTTCAATCTCGATAACGATCCTTTACCAGGTGTTTTTTTTTTTTGCGGTACGTGGGCCTCTCACTGCTGTGGCCTCTCCTGTTGCGGAGCACAGGATCCGGACGTGCAGGCTCAGCGGCCATGGCCCACGGGCCCAGCCGCTCCACAGCATGTGGGATCCTCCCGGACCGGGGCACGAACCCACGTCCCCTGCATCGGCAGGCGGACTCTCAACCACTGCGTCACCAGGGAAGCCCTACCAGGTGTTTTGAAAGGATTAAATGTGGTAATTTGTGGAAGCGCCTATTTCAGTAGCTGCATGTAATAATACGCAATAATCGGGTTCACTTAAACCACTTATTCATAATTCAAGAATAAATTTTCCATGTCCAAATGCTATACAATTAATATTCCAAACATAAATTCACTATCAATTTGTCCATGGGTACAGTTGGAAATATCTCTACTTGTCTGAGATTATAACTGTGTATAGAATTCACACCTTAAATTAACTGCTGTCCAGAATGGTAGCCACTAGTCACATGTAGCTATTGAGCACTTCAACTGTGGCCAGTCTGAATTAAGCTGCGCTTTAAGTATAAAATACACACTGGATTTCAAAGACTTTGTGTAAAAAATGTAAAATACCTCATTAATAATTTTACACTGATTATTACATGGTGAAATAGTAATATTTTAGAAATATTGGGTTAAATAAAATGTATTATTAAAATTTTAAAAAAAGAATGAAATAATGCCATTTGTAGCAACTTGGATGGACCTAGAGATTGTCATACTAAGTAAACTAAGTCAGAAAGAGAAAGACAAATACCGTGTGATATCACTTATATGTGGCATCTAAAATATGACACAAATGGGACTTCCCTGGTGGTCCAGTGGCTAAGACTCGGTGCTTTCACTGCTGGGGCCTGGGTTCGATCCCTGGTCAGGGAACTAAGATCCCAGAAGCCACGTGTGGCCGGAAAAAAAAAAAAAGAAAAGACACAAATGAACTTATCTAGAAAACAGAAACAGAGCCACAGACATAGAAAACAGACTTGTGACTGTGGGGGGGGGGGGAGGGAAGGACTGGGAGTTTGGGGTTAGCAGAAGCAAACTATTATACACAGGACGGATAAACAACAAGGTCCTACTGTAGAGCACAGGACATTATATATACAATTTCCTGTGATAAACCCGTAACAGAAAAGAAGATAAAAAAAGAACGTATATACATGTATGACTGAACCACTTTGCTGGTTTTAGAAAAACTGAAAAACTGGAAAGAAAGATTAAAAAAAAAAAAGTGATGGGCTCTGGAAAATGACCACTTGGATTCCAATCTCTTTGCTGTCATTCCTGTGCTGTCCAGGGCTAGTTACTTCATCTCAGCTTACCATTCCGTAAACGGTAAGAAAACCACCTATATGACAGTATCACTGGAGATTAAATGAGATCACCCAGGTAAAGCTCGTAGCTCAGTACCTGGCACTCACCAAGCACTGTTTTTGCCGTCAGGAGGATTTATTAGAAAGACGACCTAGGGGCTTCCCTGATGGCGCAGTGGTTAAGAATCCGCCTGCCAATGCAGGGGACACGGATTCGGGCCCTGGTCCGGGAAGATCCCACATGCCGCGGAGCAACTAAGCCCGCGCACCACAACTACTGAGGCCGCGAGCTATAACTACTGAGCCCGTGTGCTGCAACTACTGAAGCCCGCGCGCCTAGAGACCCTGCTCCGCAACAAGAGAAGCCACCGCAGTGAGAAGACCGCGCACCGCAGAGTAGCCCCCGCTCGCCGCAACTAGAGAAAAGCCCGCGCGCAACAACGAAGGCCCAATACAGCCAAAAATAAATTAATAAATAAATAAAATAAATTAAAAAAAAAAAAAAAAGGAAGACGACCTGGGCTGCGTGGGTCACTGGCCCATCGGACGGCTGCAGCCCCAGCACGGGATACGGGGAGGCCTGGGTGGTTGCTCCGAGGGCGCGCTCGGAGACCAGGCCGCGGGTTCCCGGTTCTTGGGGTTCAGTGGCGCTAACTCGTGGTTCGGCCCGGCAGAAGTTGGCTCGGGGAGCTCCTGGGCCCGCCACCTCCTCCACCCCGAGTTCCGCGCCGGGCGAGATGGCCGAGGTGGCGGCGAGTGTCGCCCGCCCCGGCCCACGCGCTCGAGGCCCGCCGGGATCCGGGAGTTTAGGTGAGCCGGCCGCGCCCCGCTCCGCCCCGCCCGGCCCGCCGCCACTCACCCCTACGCCGCCGCCGCCGCCGCCGCCGCCGGACCCGGAGCCTGAGAAGAAACTGCCCGGCGCGCGCCAGGAGCGTCGTCACTTCCTGCGTCGGCGCGGGCTGATGACGACGGAGGGCGGGCTGATGACGACGGAGGGCGGGCCCCATGGGCGGGCCCACCCCCACCCCGCAGCCCCCCCAACCCCCCCAACCCCCCCAACCCCCCAACCCCACCCCCCCAACCCCCCTCCCCGCCGCCGACACCAGACCTGCGCAGAGTGCGGGGCGCGCGCTAGCGCGTTATTACGGGCCTCGGCGCCGACTGCTGACGACACCCGGGGTGCCGGGGCGGGGCGAGTCCCTGCTGGCAGCTCGGGCTCGTCGGAAGTCGGCGCCTGGCCTGGTCGGGTGCCCGGTGTTGCGCCCTTTCTCCCAGTCCCCGTGACCCCGACCCCGGCGGTGGCGTGGTGGACTCCGAATCTTGCCTACGGAAGACCTTCCGCCGGACCGGGGCGGGGAGAGCGGTTGCCACGGGGTTTTAAGCTGTGCTAAGGCGGGGGAGGGGGGCCCTCAAAGTCCGTGCACTCCCTCATCGTGAGGTGCGGCTTCTAACCTGTTGAGGCTCTTAGAATGAAGTTCTCTTCCCTGGCTCCAGTTACTCTGCGGACCTTGGTGGTCACAGAAAACTGGCAGTTCAACCTCGAGAACCTCAGGAAAGAGAACGGTAAACGAATACCCACATTCACTGGACCTGAAATGGAAAATGTAGAAAAATGTGACAGGAAATTGGGGCACAGAAAGGGCGGTGGAATTGGAATTCTTTCTCTTCCCGGAAAGAAATGTTTACTTTCTGTATCCAAGCGCTTGTTTTGCTTCCTGAGTTTTTGGTGACAGGAAAAAAACAATTTTTTTACTTCCTTCACGCTGAAAAGGGGTGAAGGCAATAAGAACCCACCCTTGTTCATTTCAGTAGCGCGAACACTGGAGAGTTACACAAGGAAGAAAACAGTACACGCTGAACATTTATTTTACTTTCGCAGAACAAGAGTCCTAGATAGTTGTTACCATGGTGGCTTAATTTAGACAAAAATAACCAGGGGGCATCCACAGGATTCACTGTACAGCATCGATGTATTACCATAGCAGAATTAACAGTGGCTCAGTCATTTAACCACCATTTTCTAGAAAGAATTCATCTAATCACATAAATACTGAAATAAGTGAAATACAAAACACTATAGACATTTTGCACGATGTACTTTTAGTTCTCTGCAGTTTTGTTTGGTATAAAGCACATATGATTTGGTTCTGATACAGACAATTATTGATATAATTTTCAAGTTTTTCAGTGTGGGAAAGTCACTCTCACTGTGTCCCTCTGCAACGTGGTGCCCACAACACCGCCCTGGGCGGGTGCAGACGCTACTCACACATCTGCAGTCTAGAAATAGCACATCAGCTGAATGCCAGTTTTCCTCTGATGAAAACTGGAAAAAACAAAACAAAACACCAAAGACTTTGCCAATTAGAACGGTTTCCAACTCAGTTTGGACATCTAGGCATGGACCCAGTGGCCATCAAACTCAGAATCTCAGCCCTCAGGAGGAGGGGAGGAGATACTACAGAGACAGCAAACTGGAAGGTTTTACACCCTGAGCTGCAGGGTGAGTACGCCAAGGGATGGTCAGCACAACCTCATGACTCTGCTCTCGGCCCCTCAGCCAGGATAGAGAAATAGGCAAACTCTTCGGGGGAGCTGGGACGTTCTTATTTATAAACTAAGAAAACAAAGAGGTCCCAACCAGGGCATGTACGTGTTTTGGAGAAGAACAGAGCCCTTAGCACAATGTTGGTCAAAGGCAAAAAGAGAGGAGAGTTTCTACCTGTAATAACATCTTTGTTTAATTTTTCCAACCCAGGGGAACAGTGAAAATACTTTCAGGCATCAGGAAGCACACCCCCTGGACAGATGTAAAAAGACATGTTGCATTTCTTTGATCCCCTCTGGCCCGTCTATAAATGACCGTCCATGGGACAGTCAGCGCCGCACAGGAGGGAAAGCCCACCAGTTTGGGGAAAGTATTTCAAGGGCTGGCGACGAGCACGGCTCCATGTGGATGACATTCCTCGTGCAGCAATTTTTTACTGTTTGATTCACAAATTAAAGACACATTTTGGATTGTGCAAGAGTATTCTCAGCTTTCCAAGGCATATGATTTTAATGCTGATATGCAGGAAATTATGACTATCAGAATTCTTTTTTAAAAAAGCCTTTTTTATGCCACTCAGTAGTGGAAATTTCCTTGAAAGCCAGAAAAGTGTGGATACTACATCTCTACGTGTCAATGTAAGTAAGCAGATGACCAGATTCAGAAGCCTGGTTCAAGAGTTTGTTTACAAAGGCACGGACGACAACCAAAGACATAGGAGGAAGGGACCCAATGTAACACACAACACCTGGTGTCAACACTGGTACGAGCACACCTGCGATGGTTCAGTGAAAAGAACATACTAAAAAACTACTAAACGAAGTTAATTAAAAAACATGTCTGTACGGTTATTAAACAAATGCCATTGCCAGGCTGCGGAAACGCCCCACACGTGGACGACTCAGGGGTGGGGACGCAGACAGAATGCAGCTGCAGCACAGGTTTTGTGGTCTCCCACCCGGGATGAGGAGAAGTCTCAAAAGCAGCTTTGCTAGAAACGGCCTCATTTACAAATAATTTAGGAAAATCTTTCTTGGTCCTAATATCTAGAAAATCAAAACACGATGAGAGTGGAGGGAGGGGCAGGTCCACAGGAGGCAGGGACCCAGGTCCCTAACAACACTCGGACACAGGCGGCTGGCACCTGAAAACACTCAGATGACAGTCTGCCGTGGGCAACCACAGATACGCCCCTTCTGTTCACGTCTCCCCATCAGCCGTGGGCACAGCGGCCACAGTCTGAGGGCAGAGGCAGCAGCCCCAGGGAAACGGTGCTTTCTCTCTGGTCCTCACAGATCAATGCACCAGCCGGCCACCCCAGCTACCGCCAAAGAATCCTCTTTAGTTTTGTTCTGGGGGGAAGCAGAAAAAGAGGAAAGGGATAAAACCTGGGAAAGTCACACGAGCAACCCCTGCACAGTGAAGGTGCGTGTGACCCGCCGTCCTCTGGAGCAGGAGGTCAGCTTAGTAAAAAGGTTGTTTGTAGTTTAAAAGGCCTCATTTTAATCCATCATCATTACAAGATTTTTAAAGTTAGCGGAACTTAATGAGATATAGTTATTGCTCTTTGTTTCCAAAAGATCTGCTCTCCAGGAGGGGCTCTTTTATATTTCCCAGCTGAGAAGCCAACTGGAAAACCAGAGAAGCAATCAGGGAGCCCAGGCCCCGAACAGCTGGGAATGCTGCCTGAGACTCAGGGAACGATTTGTGCCTTCGGGTGGCTCTGTCCGCAGGCTGGCTGGAGATGGCCAGGTGGCCAGCCTGCGGCCCCGAGTAGGGCTGCACCTGACAAGCCCCAGAGCTCTAGGCTGGTGGGAGGGAGGGGGCTGCGTCCCAATCAGAAATCCCAACGGGCTGTGAGGCAAGAGGTGAAGCGAGGGGTGGCACCTCAGCCCACCACAGGCCTCAAACACCTGGCTGTCTGTCCGTCTGTCTGCTCTGGAGGAGGCGGGCCGGGCCAGGCCGTGGGTCTGACTGTGGTTTACCTGGCATACACGATGCGTTCCATAAGCCACCTATGCCTGTGTTTCCTTTTAAAAACCTACGCTGTCATTTTAAACGCAGCATAACAAAAACAGTAAATATTCCACACTCGTCCTGCTCATCATTCACGAGGGAAAATCCTAAAAGCCTCGTTGATGAGACAAGGCAAGGCTCCTGACTAGTTGAGTGGGGACGGGTGCTCCCCAGGGGCGCTCCGAACAGCCTGCCTCTCACCCGGGGGAGCAGAAGGGACAGAAGCCCCCTCCCTGAGCCAAACACCGCAGGGGGCTGCCCGCAGCCTCGGGCTGGAAACCACGTCTGGGCCTCTGGGGGGCCCCGGCCGCAGGTGAGGGCTGGACCTTCAGGTGAGGAGCTCGGCGCAGCAGGCACGGAAAGGGGTGGGGCCGCTTCGCTCCGCGAGTGACCTTCCCTAAGTGGTGCTGATGCGGGCAGCTCCGCCTCGGGCAGAAGGGCGGGAGGCCGGGGCCGGACACTCCATCCTCAGGAGCAGGGAACGCCGGTCTCTGCACCACAGCTGTCTGGGCAGTGGGGCAGCCTGTCCAAGCCCAGCGGACAGACTCCCTGACGGCCAAGGAGCCAGACGTACCTCGGGTGGCCGCCGACGGCTGGCGTGGGGAAGCGGGTTCTCTCCGCCAGCTACAAGTGGGGAGGGCAGCCGCTGGCACCTGGCTGCAGCCCCGGCTTCACAGCTGTCCCCAGTGGTCGTCACCCACAGAGGAATTGGGGCCTGGCCTGGCTGCAGGGGGTGCGCAGAGGCCACCAGGAGGAGGTTGTCACGTGGCTCAGCAACGGCTCAGTGGCAGCTGTGGTCTGCGCCCCAGGGGCTGACATCTGGGACCCTGATTCGAGCTCCCCCAGCTCTGACCGAACGTCCCAGGAAAGAGCGGGAAAGGCTGCCCACCCGCACCTCCCACACCCGGACTGTGACCCGTGGAGCCAGAGGCCCCACGCCTGCCGTCCAGGGAGCGGGAGAGGCGAAGGGGGTCCCCCACTGGCAAGGAGCGGCGTGGCGCACGGCGCCCCTGAGGCTCCGGGGCTCAGTGGTGTGGCCGGGGGTCCGGGGGGAGCAGCGGCTCAGGGCTGCTGTCTGGGGACCGGCTGGTGGCCACAGCCAGGCTCTGCATGGCCTCCCGCTGCTGCTGCTTGGCCTTGTTGTAGAGCAGGACTCCGGCCGTCACCAGCACGGTGCCCACGGCTGACAGGCTGGTGACCCTGTTGCCGAAAACGATGACGCTGAGCCAGATGGACAGGGCGTGCTTGACGGTGCTGGCGACACTGCGGGAGAGGACAGCGGGGACGTCGGCGGGGGCCGAAGGCGTCTCCGCTAACCCCACTCTGTCGTGCTGGGGTCCTTCCTACTAGGAAAAAGGTCACCGAGAAGTAGCGACACTTCCAACAAAAAGCCGAGTGCCATCTTCACACTCAGCATTTTGCCGTATTTTGCTTCGTCCTTTTTTAGACGGAAATATTTCTAAGTACTTTATAGACATCATGACGTTTGATCCCTCACACCTGCAGCGTGCTCTCCACAGAAGGAGGAAGGTTCCTCTGAGAGCGCCTGAGAGAACCGATCATTAGGGAGAGTATCTGGGAAGTGACACAGCCCTGCTCAGCCACTGCTGGGACCTCATGAAGATAAAGTGAACATGACAGGGCTTGTCTCCTGGGCTGCCATTGACGACAATTTAAACTTAATTTTTGTACTTTTCTACCTGAAGCTATTTTCTTTAAAAAGAACTGGTTTGGGGACCGTCCTCGTGGTCCAGTGGTTAAGACTCTGCACTTCCGATGCAGGGGGCCCAGGTTTGATCCCTGGTCGGGGAACTAGATCCCATATCCCGTACAGCAGCCAAAGAAAAATTTTTTAATAAAATAAAAAGAACTGGTCTTCTGTTTTCTGCCTTTTTTTGAACCGTCAACTAACAATCACTGAAAAACAAAGTTTCAGGGGTATGTGGATATAATTCCTGGCCCTAAATGGAAACAAGACCGTATGACAGACTGTGACAGCGAGAGCTTCAGGAGACCTCAGCAATCAGCAGGCAGCTCCCCTCCAGGAGTCGGGCAGAGGGTGCGTGCACCCCGGGAGGCCCAAGGGCAGCGATGCACCTGCTGCCATCACTCCTGGGTACAATTCCGCTCTCCAGTGACAGTTCTGAAGTTAAAGGACAAAGGCCCGTTGGCTTCTACGACAACTTGACGGGCAGACCCGCAGACATCACTGCATGGATTTCCAGGCCTGCTGGCAACCTCAGCCGACTCCTTTCTATTTGTTACTGAAAATGCTCCGGTGTCAAATCACGCTTTCGCTTTCGCTAAGTCCGCCCAGTTACAGAGAAGAAGCCTGTGAGACCTGAGCTCAGTGCTAAGTTACCAGCAGTGAGCTGACGGCCACGTGTGGCTGCTCAAGTGTGAACTGATTAAAGTTAGAGAAATGTCAGACGTTGGTTCCTCGTGGCACTTGGCACGCCCCAGGCGCTCAGCAGCACACGTGGCCTGTGGCTCCCACCCTGGGCGGCCCAGAAGCGGGACAATCCGTCATCCCGGGAGATTCCACGGACAGTGCTGTTTCGGGCAGAAGTACACTCACACCACTCCAAGGATTTCTGCTTCTGCACAGAATCCCAGTGGGGATTCCCCTAAAGATCTGTTTCACAGACTTTCCTGTTCACGTTTCAAACGGCACCAATACAGAACGGCCTAGTAATTACGACCTGTGACCACAGCGATCGCTACATTTGTGATTCCACAACCACGAACACCTCTTATAAAACGTCTAGATGGCAAGCGTTCCCCTCTGCACGTGACCTGGAGGCACTTCACCTCTTGGGAGGTGCGGTCCTTACCTGAAGGTCACGGGGGAGATCCTCCCCATGAGGGCGTAGGCCGTGACGCTCTGCAGGTGGAAGAGGACGCCGTCCGCCAGCAGTAGAAGCAGCACGTCCTGGCTGTAGCGGAAGCTCCTCGCGTTCCTCCCGATCACCGGCAAGTCCTGCGCCAGAGCCAGAGGGACGCCCGCGGTGCTGACACCCAGACCCCAGCCCAGGGGCCAGCGCAACGCTGGAGCCCGGCCGTAGGACAGGACAGCCCAGTTCCACTTGTGTTAAAAAGAGAGGTGTGCGTAGACGCGCACCTGTGCTTCTGTAGGACCGATGGAATCCCACGACACGCGTGAGCACAGGAGCGTGTTTGTGCCCACGCAGACACGTCTGGGAAGCAGCTCCACCAGGAGCGGGCCTGGGAGGGGCTGGGGGACATACTGCTCTCTGTTTCATAAGCTTCTGCCCTGGGACTTGTTCAACAGTGGTCACAATGTTTTTAAATAACAGTAGTAATAAAAAACAAGTGCAGGGGGACTTCCCTGGTGGCGCAGTGGTTAAGAATCCGCCTGCCAATGCAGGGGACACGGGTTCGAGCCCTGGTCCGGGAAGGTCCCACATGCCGCAGAGCAACTAAGTCCGTGTGCCACAACTACTGAGCCCGTGTGCCACAACTACTGAGCCCACGTGCCGCAACTACTGAAGCCCACGTGCCTAGAGCCCGTGCTCCGCAACAAGAGAAGCCACCGCAATGAAAAGCCCACGCACCACAACGAAGAGTAGCCCCTGCTCGCCACAACTAGAGAAAGCCCACGTGCAGCAACGAAGACCCAACACAGCCAAAAATAAATAAATAAATTTTTAAAAAAAACAAGTGCAGGAATTCCCTGGCGGTCCAGTGGTTAAAACTCAGCGCTTTCACTGTCGTGGCCCGGGTTCAATCCCTGGTCGGGGAACTAACATCCCACAAGCCCTGAGGTGCGGCCAAAAAACAACAACAAAAAAGTGCACCTAAAAACGCTCACAGCAAAGTTTCCAGGAACCGCTGGCTGAGGTTTGGCCCCCGTGGGCACCGGACCCACACAGGACCCGCACGGGTTTGCTTCGCTCGGTCCCCCCCACCCCCCTGGGCGCGTGGCGGCCTCTGTGTATTCAGCACGCCCGGCGCCCAGGGCTCGCCCCGACCTGGGAAGGCACCAGGGCTGGACTCACCATGAAGAAGATCCAGGCCGGGACGAGCATGGCCACGGCTGCTGCACTGGTGTAGAACTGCAGCTCCGCGGCCCTGGGGGGACAGGCGCCTGATCCTCTCCCCGCCTCGCCCCCGCCCTCGCCCTCCGCGGAACCAGGGTGCCCCAGTTTAATTATCTCCTCCCAGATGATACAGACGGCCGGGCCTGACAGGCGACCCACCGGCCACGGGACGGTGACAGGCAGCCTCAAACGAGCCGGCCAAGGGGCAGTTGGAAACAGGTGGGGTTTTCTCCCAAGTTTCAACAAGGTTCTTTTAAAGGCACCATGAAATGGGAGGGGTCAGGGCACAGGGTGGTCTGGTCTCCATGGAGCAGTGACACTTACGAGAACCTATATTTGTCCCCGCTGAGGAGCTTTTTGGAGAAAACGTTCTGCAAACTAGAATAAAGAAAAGAAGAGGTTATGAGAGGTCAGATGGCACCACACACGGCCGAAGTGCCATGTCCTCCAGAAACAGGGACACACGGTAGCTCCTTGGGGATGGTCCTGGCGTCTGCTGTGAGCCGGGCTGAGCTGCCCCTTTCACAGATGGGTAACCTGAGGTCTCAGAGGCTGAGGACGTGCCTGAGGTTACCCAGCTCTGCTCGGCAGCGGCCACGGAACAGACAGTGTGAGCACAGGAAGACCCTGGGAAAAAAAACAGAGACAAAACTGCTGGCCGGGAAGGCCCGCCGTGGCCAATGGGAAGACCAGACAGCGTCCAGCTTCCCTGGAGCCAGAGGGCTCAGCATTCTGAAGAACGACGCTGCTCCCTGGACGCTGGGTGCACAGCAGCTCTGGCCAAGGGGACTTAAACCAGAGCAACGAGCCTGCTGCACAGGTTTACAGGCCCTGTCCCCCTCCTGGGGGTTTACGCTGCAGGCCCGTCAGAAACCTAGAGGGAAACCCGTGTGAAGATGTTTCCTGCAGATCTAAGTCACGAGGTCTGGAGCGTCTGCAGGTGAGCGAGGAGGCTTCTGGAGACCATCCTGTGCTCGGAGTTAACAGGCGATATGCAAACTATGACGTGAGCTGGACTGTGTTTCTGGGAAAGGCTGAAGGAAACACAGCAAAGTGTGAGAAATGAAATGAAAGGTGATTTTTCATTTTTCAGCTGTATTATTCAAATTCAAACCCTCCAGATGGGCCTGTTTTTCTTTGGAAGTAATGGCAACAAGAAACCCTTGGATACCGTGTGGCTGCTGTTTCCTCTCTTTTCTCAGAAGTGGTGACGCTGAGAGAGCAGGCTGCGCAGAGGTGTCAGCAAGACGGCTCAGCCGCCACTGGGGCGTGACATCTATCCCCCGTCCTGCGGGACACGCAACCCCACGCGGCATGGGACACGCCCCTCGGACTCACCAGTCCATGATGTTGGTGGACAAGGCGGCCGAAAACCCCAGGAAGTTGAAGCTCATCTCGGTGGCCGTGCACAGCGCCAGGCCGCCCATGACAGGGATGAGCGAGAGGTTGACCAGCAGCCCTGCGGAGCGACAGAACACAGGGGCCAGGCTGCAGCGCCCCCCAGTGGGCCGGGCTACCCCCCACCCCGCCCCAGGAGTGCTCTGCACGCTCACTTTGTTTGATTCTTCTCGCTGGACGGAAAATATAGCACATGCCTCCTTTCACCCGCTCCAGAGCCAGGTGCCAGGGGCACGACGGCCAGAGCCACCAGCTCCAAGCCCTGCTCCCTGCGCCCCACCCCCCGACCCCGAACCCTCATCTGCAAAATGAGTCGGGTGAAGGGTGGTTTCCAGGGAAGGCTGGGAGAGGAGGGAGGCCCCAGACCCTCAGGGTGTCCAGCGCTCCTGCCTTCGTTCTGAAATCTAACCAACAGCCTTGATGTGAAGGTAAGGCTGAGACCATTCGGTGCAACAGAAAATCACGTCACTCTGCACACAGGGCATCCAGCCTCATGTGGTACCGCTGCTTTGATTTCAGACACAGCATTTCATTTATCTTGAAATCCAAAGCAGACGAGGGGACTAGCCTCTCGTGTTCAGCAAAAAGGAGCAGAGGTGCAGCCCTCAGATGACCGTAGCCCCCGCCCCCGCCGAGGACAGCGCTGTCCACACAGCAAACCCACAGGCCCACGTGGCCTGAGGCTGAGAGCATCACCACGGAAGGAGGCCTCTGCTGGATGGCGGATCTCGCGCAGGGGCCATGGCTGGGAGGCCGTCCAGGGGGCAGGCGCCTTCGTGGACTCGGGGCTCTGCCGGGGCTGCCCCACAGGGCGTCACTCCTCTGGGGACCCCAAACCTTGGGGTCCCTCAAGTCCTGGCACCTTCATCATTCTCCAACGCCTCCCCAACAGACTTTTTTTTGCTAAAGTTTATCAAGATTTCCTAATTGTTCTCAGCAAGACAGCTGGTTTTCTACACACGTACCCACCGCAGCTGGAGCCCAAAGTGTGATGCTTTTAAGGCCCTTGAGATAAATCCTTTCTGCGTGGTGAAGCTTGACGTGCAGTCAGGCTGCTTCCTGCTGAGTACGATTTTAGGAATCGCTTTTACACTTTGATCTGATGCTGTTTTACCATCACCTAAGCGTTTGTGCGGCTCCAAGGGCACGTCTGCGAGAAGCCCGGCTGCGCCCCGTCCGTCCCCATCCTCCTCTCTCCCTGAGGCAGGTGCCGCCTTGTTTTACCTTTTTGTCATTTTACCAGTTGAAGCAAACACGTGTCTCCCTCTGTGAGCGCCCCCCACCCCCGGGGTCAAACACGACGTGTCGTGTCCACGAGTCTGCACTCTGCTTGTCTTCACGGAACCACACTCTCTAAATGGTTGGCGGGAAAGTCAGGGACGTGTGTGCAGCTGGCAGCGCGTGCCCGCAGCCCAGGTTGGAAATTTGTAACAAGTCCCCTTTGCTGAGCTTTGGGGAGCCACAGTGGAGGGCAGGAGGGGGTGCGGAGGAGGGGCCGGGGCGCCTGGCAGATTCCTGGGACAGAAATGGCACCGAGGTTACCTGCCTGTCACTCCTTCACCCAGCTCCTACCATCCCAGGCCTCTGAGGCTAAGAAACGACCAGGAGGGGAGTGGAGGGAGCTGAGCTCCAGGGTGACGTGGGTGGGAGCGGCCCCCGGAGGAGCTGGCACGCCCGGGCGTTGGAGGCTGCTCACCGGTGTGCTCCCCCAGGACGGTCCGGGACAGGATCACAGTGAAGATGGGGGCCGAGCTCTTCACCGTCTCGGCAAAGGACACCGCCACATTTTTCAGGCTGACCAGACCCAAAACCACTGTTGCAAACCTAAGACAGTCAACAGCGTCACAGGGATGATTTGGTGCATCCGCAGCCACGGGGCAGACCTGGTAGGAGCCCAGGGGGTGCGCACGTCTGCCCTGCCCCCGCCCGGCCCCCTCCCTCCCAGGATCACCTGATGGTAACAGTCAGCCGGGGGGAAGTGTTCTACATGTAAAAAACTCAGTCCCTCAACCAGAAACGTTAGCTGCTTACCTCATGAGACCCACGAACAACATGGTCACGATGAAGTTGGGAGGGTAAGAGAGCCGGGTTTTGTGCTGATACAAACAGCAGGGAAGGAATACTTTGACGCAGCCGATGAGCGTGGTTGATAGCATCTGCACGGCCCCTGGAGGAGGAGGCGGCGGCTGAGCGAGGGGCTCCACCCCGCCGGGAGCTCCATCCCGCCGCCAGCACCCGGTGGGTACCTAGCATGCTGGGCTCCCCTTCTAGCAGGGACAGGATGTACTTGTTGAGAAACAGGGTGCAGAAGCTGAAGAAGAACCAGAGTGTGAGGTAGATGAGGGCGCGGGCACCCCACACGCCCAGGTCCGCCTCGATGACGGTCGTCTCAGTGACGGTGACCGTGAGCACCTGCTCGTCGGGGCCACCTTCGCTCTGGCCAAATGCGATCTTCTCACTCCGGTGGCCAAACACGGGGCCCCAGGCCAGGAGCGGCCGACCCCCCGGCTTCTCACCGGGGCCCGGAGCCAGCTCTGCCAGGGCCGCGGGCTTAGCGGATGCCGACATCTCAGGGGCGGCGGGCAGCGCAGGGCAGGGACGCGGGGATGGAGGCAGCGGCCATGCAGGTGGCACTGGGCGGGGCGCGGGCTGGAGTGGGAAGGAAAGGACGGCGTTGCGTGAGCGGCTAAGGTCCTGCAGAGTTTAATCACCCACTTAGAGTAATTTCAAGACGCAAACTCGGGGTCCTGGCCTTGTTTCCAGCCCCAAAGGAGCGGGCGCCCCGACAGCTCGGACTTGTCTTCCAATAAGTTTCTGAGACCAAAGCCTTTACCGGCCTCCGTTCCCTCCCCACACACCTGACCCTCCAGCTGATCCCGCCCGAACTCCTTCTACAGTACCTGCCAACCCCTGCCTCTTCCAGCCCCGCCCCACCCCCAGGGCACCCCACAACCCCCAAGCACCGGCCCAGCCTCGAGCTCGTCCTCCAGGCTGCCCTCCCGCAGCTCGGCTGAGGCCTGGGCTCTCCGCCCCCACCCCGGAAGCTGTCACAAGTGCTCTGCACCTTCCCACCCACCCTGGGACCAACCAGAGCCGCTGAGGAAGGGGCCCCCTCGCCCGGAGCTCTTCCCACCAGGCTGGCTCTCCCACGCCCTCACCCAACTTCTTAATATTTCATCCAGTGTTCTGAGTTGTCCTTTGTGGGAGGGTTGACCTGCCCCGTCAGAGACTCTGAGTTTCTGTCCCTCCATCGGGTTTTGAGTTCCAACCCCTGCGTTCTTCGTATTCTATTTGTTACCGTTTCAAACTGGCCTGCTTCTCTCAACTTTCGATTCCTTTTTTGCGTCCTCTCTTTCACGGTCCAACAGTTCATCACCCAAGCCCTGACAGTATGACCCTCAGCCTCTCAGCGGGTCAGCAGCCCGCTGGCTCGAGGGGGCTGTTCGCGTGCACAGATCCTGGGCCGGGGGACCTCCTCCTGGGCTTGAGGGCGGGCAGGCCTTGGAGCGGGCATGGGCACTGCCTCTGCAGGTGCCCAGGAGAGGGTGATCCTCCCTCAACAGATCCACACCTGCTTGGCGCTCAGGCCTGTGGCCACGACTTCTCAAGAGAGACCCCTCACTCCCTAAGGTCACAGGCAGTGCACGTGACCTGGAGGCACTTCACCTCTTGGGAGGTGCGGTCCTTACCTGAAGGTCACGGGGGAGATCCTCCCCATGAGGGCGTAGGCCGTGACGCTCTGCAGGTGGAAGAGGACGCCGTCCGCCAGCAGTAGAAGCAGCACGTCCTGGCTGTAGCGGAAGCTCCTCGCGTTCCTCCCGATCACCGGCAAGTCCTGCGCCAGAGCCAGAGGGACGCCCGCGGTGCTGACACCCAGACCCCAGCCCAGGGGCCAGCGCAACGCTGGAGCCCGGCCGTAGGACAGGACAGCCCAGTTCCACTTGTGTTAAAAAGAGAGGTGTGCGTAGACGCGCACCTGTGCTTCTGTAGGACCGATGGAATCCCACGACACGCGTGAGCACAGGAGCGTGTTTGTGCCCACGCAGACACGTCTGGGAAGCAGCTCCACCAGGAGCGGGCCTGGGAGGGGCTGGGGGACATACTGCTCTCTGTTTCATAAGCTTCTGCCCTGGGACTTGTTCAACAGTGGTCACAATGTTTTTAAATAACAGTAGTAATAAAAAACAAGTGCAGGGGGACTTCCCTGGTGGCGCAGTGGTTAAGAATCCGCCTGCCAATGCAGGGGACACGGGTTCGAGCCCTGGTCCGGGAAGGTCCCACATGCCGCAGAGCAACTAAGTCCGTGTGCCACAACTACTGAGCCCGTGTGCCACAACTACTGAGCCCACGTGCCGCAACTACTGAAGCCCACGTGCCTAGAGCCCGTGCTCCGCAACAAGAGAAGCCACCGCAATGAAAAGCCCACGCACCACAACGAAGAGTAGCCCCTGCTCGCCACAACTAGAGAAAGCCCACGTGCAGCAACGAAGACCCAACACAGCCAAAAATAAATAAATAAATTTTTAAAAAAAACAAGTGCAGGAATTCCCTGGCGGTCCAGTGGTTAAAACTCAGCGCTTTCACTGTCGTGGCCCGGGTTCAATCCCTGGTCGGGGAACTAACATCCCACAAGCCCTGAGGTGCGGCCAAAAAACAACAACAAAAAAGTGCACCTAAAAACGCTCACAGCAAAGTTTCCAGGAACCGCTGGCTGAGGTTTGGCCCCCGTGGGCACCGGACCCACACAGGACCCGCACGGGTTTGCTTCGCTCGGTCCCCCCCACCCCCCTGGGCGCGTGGCGGCCTCTGTGTATTCAGCACGCCCGGCGCCCAGGGCTCGCCCCGACCTGGGAAGGCACCAGGGCTGGACTCACCATGAAGAAGATCCAGGCCGGGACGAGCATGGCCACGGCTGCTGCACTGGTGTAGAACTGCAGCTCCGCGGCCCTGGGGGGACAGGCGCCTGATCCTCTCCCCGCCTCGCCCCCGCCCTCGCCCTCCGCGGAACCAGGGTGCCCCAGTTTAATTATCTCCTCCCAGATGATACAGACGGCCGGGCCTGACAGGCGACCCACCGGCCACGGGACGGTGACAGGCAGCCTCAAACGAGCCGGCCAAGGGGCAGTTGGAAACAGGTGGGGTTTTCTCCCAAGTTTCAACAAGGTTCTTTTAAAGGCACCATGAAATGGGAGGGGTCAGGGCACAGGGTGGTCTGGTCTCCATGGAGCAGTGACACTTACGAGAACCTATATTTGTCCCCGCTGAGGAGCTTTTTGGAGAAAACGTTCTGCAAACTAGAATAAAGAAAAGAAGAGGTTATGAGAGGTCAGATGGCACCACACACGGCCGAAGTGCCATGTCCTCCAGAAACAGGGACACACGGTAGCTCCTTGGGGATGGTCCTGGCGTCTGCTGTGAGCCGGGCTGAGCTGCCCCTTTCACAGATGGGTAACCTGAGGTCTCAGAGGCTGAGGACGTGCCTGAGGTTACCCAGCTCTGCTCGGCAGCGGCCACGGAACAGACAGTGTGAGCACAGGAAGACCCTGGGAAAAAAAACAGAGACAAAACTGCTGGCCGGGAAGGCCCGCCGTGGCCAATGGGAAGACCAGACAGCGTCCAGCTTCCCTGGAGCCAGAGGGCTCAGCATTCTGAAGAACGACGCTGCTCCCTGGACGCTGGGTGCACAGCAGCTCTGGCCAAGGGGACTTAAACCAGAGCAACGAGCCTGCTGCACAGGTTTACAGGCCCTGTCCCCCTCCTGGGGGTTTACGCTGCAGGCCCGTCAGAAACCTAGAGGGAAACCCGTGTGAAGATGTTTCCTGCAGATCTAAGTCACGAGGTCTGGAGCGTCTGCAGGTGAGCGAGGAGGCTTCTGGAGACCATCCTGTGCTCGGAGTTAACAGGCGATATGCAAACTATGACGTGAGCTGGACTGTGTTTCTGGGAAAGGCTGAAGGAAACACAGCAAAGTGTGAGAAATGAAATGAAAGGTGATTTTTCATTTTTCAGCTGTATTATTCAAATTCAAACCCTCCAGATGGGCCTGTTTTTCTTTGGAAGTAATGGCAACAAGAAACCCTTGGATACCGTGTGGCTGCTGTTTCCTCTCTTTTCTCAGAAGTGGTGACGCTGAGAGAGCAGGCTGCGCAGAGGTGTCAGCAAGACGGCTCAGCCGCCACTGGGGCGTGACATCTATCCCCCGTCCTGCGGGACACGCAACCCCACGCGGCATGGGACACGCCCCTCGGACTCACCAGTCCATGATGTTGGTGGACAAGGCGGCCGAAAACCCCAGGAAGTTGAAGCTCATCTCGGTGGCCGTGCACAGCGCCAGGCCGCCCATGACAGGGATGAGCGAGAGGTTGACCAGCAGCCCTGCGGAGCGACAGAACACAGGGGCCAGGCTGCAGCGCCCCCCAGTGGGCCGGGCTACCCCCCACCCCGCCCCAGGAGTGCTCTGCACGCTCACTTTGTTTGATTCTTCTCGCTGGACGGAAAATATAGCACATGCCTCCTTTCACCCGCTCCAGAGCCAGGTGCCAGGGGCACGACGGCCAGAGCCACCAGCTCCAAGCCCTGCTCCCTGCGCCCCACCCCCCGACCCCGAACCCTCATCTGCAAAATGAGTCGGGTGAAGGGTGGTTTCCAGGGAAGGCTGGGAGAGGAGGGAGGCCCCAGACCCTCAGGGTGTCCAGCGCTCCTGCCTTCGTTCTGAAATCTAACCAACAGCCTTGATGTGAAGGTAAGGCTGAGACCATTCGGTGCAACAGAAAATCACGTCACTCTGCACACAGGGCATCCAGCCTCATGTGGTACCGCTGCTTTGATTTCAGACACAGCATTTCATTTATCTTGAAATCCAAAGCAGACGAGGGGACTAGCCTCTCGTGTTCAGCAAAAAGGAGCAGAGGTGCAGCCCTCAGATGACCGTAGCCCCCGCCCCCGCCGAGGACAGCGCTGTCCACACAGCAAACCCACAGGCCCACGTGGCCTGAGGCTGAGAGCATCACCACGGAAGGAGGCCTCTGCTGGATGGCGGATCTCGCGCAGGGGCCATGGCTGGGAGGCCGTCCAGGGGGCAGGCGCCTTCGTGGACTCGGGGCTCTGCCGGGGCTGCCCCACAGGGCGTCACTCCTCTGGGGACCCCAAACCTTGGGGTCCCTCAAGTCCTGGCACCTTCATCATTCTCCAACGCCTCCCCAACAGACTTTTTTTTGCTAAAGTTTATCAAGATTTCCTAATTGTTCTCAGCAAGACAGCTGGTTTTCTACACACGTACCCACCGCAGCTGGAGCCCAAAGTGTGATGCTTTTAAGGCCCTTGAGATAAATCCTTTCTGCGTGGTGAAGCTTGACGTGCAGTCAGGCTGCTTCCTGCTGAGTACGATTTTAGGAATCGCTTTTACACTTTGATCTGATGCTGTTTTACCATCACCTAAGCGTTTGTGCGGCTCCAAGGGCACGTCTGCGAGAAGCCCGGCTGCGCCCCGTCCGTCCCCATCCTCCTCTCTCCCTGAGGCAGGTGCCGCCTTGTTTTACCTTTTTGTCATTTTACCAGTTGAAGCAAACACGTGTCTCCCTCTGTGAGCGCCCCCCACCCCCGGGGTCAAACACGACGTGTCGTGTCCACGAGTCTGCACTCTGCTTGTCTTCACGGAACCACACTCTCTAAATGGTTGGCGGGAAAGTCAGGGACGTGTGTGCAGCTGGCAGCGCGTGCCCGCAGCCCAGGTTGGAAATTTGTAACAAGTCCCCTTTGCTGAGCTTTGGGGAGCCACAGTGGAGGGCAGGAGGGGGTGCGGAGGAGGGGCCGGGGCGCCTGGCAGATTCCTGGGACAGAAATGGCACCGAGGTTACCTGCCTGTCACTCCTTCACCCAGCTCCTACCATCCCAGGCCTCTGAGGCTAAGAAACGACCAGGAGGGGAGTGGAGGGAGCTGAGCTCCAGGGTGACGTGGGTGGGAGCGGCCCCCGGAGGAGCTGGCACGCCCGGGCGTTGGAGGCTGCTCACCGGTGTGCTCCCCCAGGACGGTCCGGGACAGGATCACAGTGAAGATGGGGGCCGAGCTCTTCACCGTCTCGGCAAAGGACACCGCCACATTTTTCAGGCTGACCAGACCCAAAACCACTGTTGCAAACCTAAGACAGTCAACAGCGTCACAGGGATGATTTGGTGCATCCGCAGCCACGGGGCAGACCTGGTAGGAGCCCAGGGGGTGCGCACGTCTGCCCTGCCCCCGCCCGGCCCCCTCCCTCCCAGGATCACCTGATGGTAACAGTCAGCCGGGGGGAAGTGTTCTACATGTAAAAAACTCAGTCCCTCAACCAGAAACGTTAGCTGCTTACCTCATGAGACCCACGAACAACATGGTCACGATGAAGTTGGGAGGGTAAGAGAGCCGGGTTTTGTGCTGATACAAACAGCAGGGAAGGAATACTTTGACGCAGCCGATGAGCGTGGTTGATAGCATCTGCACGGCCCCTGGAGGAGGAGGCGGCGGCTGAGCGAGGGGCTCCACCCCGCCGGGAGCTCCATCCCGCCGCCAGCACCCGGTGGGTACCTAGCATGCTGGGCTCCCCTTCTAGCAGGGACAGGATGTACTTGTTGAGAAACAGGGTGCAGAAGCTGAAGAAGAACCAGAGTGTGAGGTAGATGAGGGCGCGGGCACCCCACACGCCCAGGTCCGCCTCGATGACGGTCGTCTCAGTGACGGTGACCGTGAGCACCTGCTCGTCGGGGCCACCTTCGCTCTGGCCAAATGCGATCTTCTCACTCCGGTGGCCAAACACGGGGCCCCAGGCCAGGAGCGGCCGACCCCCCGGCTTCTCACCGGGGCCCGGAGCCAGCTCTGCCAGGGCCGCGGGCTTAGCGGATGCCGACATCTCAGGGGCGGCGGGCAGCGCAGGGCAGGGACGCGGGGATGGAGGCAGCGGCCATGCAGGTGGCACTGGGCGGGGCGCGGGCTGGAGTGGGAAGGAAAGGACGGCGTTGCGTGAGCGGCTAAGGTCCTGCAGAGTTTAATCACCCACTTAGAGTAATTTCAAGACGCAAACTCGGGGTCCTGGCCTTGTTTCCAGCCCCAAAGGAGCGGGCGCCCCGACAGCTCGGACTTGTCTTCCAATAAGTTTCTGAGACCAAAGCCTTTACCGGCCTCCGTTCCCTCCCCACACACCTGACCCTCCAGCTGATCCCGCCCGAACTCCTTCTACAGTACCTGCCAACCCCTGCCTCTTCCAGCCCCGCCCCACCCCCAGGGCACCCCACAACCCCCAAGCACCGGCCCAGCCTCGAGCTCGTCCTCCAGGCTGCCCTCCCGCAGCTCGGCTGAGGCCTGGGCTCTCCGCCCCCACCCCGGAAGCTGTCACAAGTGCTCTGCACCTTCCCACCCACCCTGGGACCAACCAGAGCCGCTGAGGAAGGGGCCCCCTCGCCCGGAGCTCTTCCCACCAGGCTGGCTCTCCCACGCCCTCACCCAACTTCTTAATATTTCATCCAGTGTTCTGAGTTGTCCTTTGTGGGAGGGTTGACCTGCCCCGTCAGAGACTCTGAGTTTCTGTCCCTCCATCGGGTTTTGAGTTCCAACCCCTGCGTTCTTCGTATTCTATTTGTTACCGTTTCAAACTGGCCTGCTTCTCTCAACTTTCGATTCCTTTTTTGCGTCCTCTCTTTCACGGTCCAACAGTTCATCACCCAAGCCCTGACAGTATGACCCTCAGCCTCTCAGCGGGTCAGCAGCCCGCTGGCTCGAGGGGGCTGTTCGCGTGCACAGATCCTGGGCCGGGGGACCTCCTCCTGGGCTTGAGGGCGGGCAGGCCTTGGAGCGGGCATGGGCACTGCCTCTGCAGGTGCCCAGGAGAGGGTGATCCTCCCTCAACAGATCCACACCTGCTTGGCGCTCAGGCCTGTGGCCACGACTTCTCAAGAGAGACCCCTCACTCCCTAAGGTCACAGGCAGAGTCCGACCCGGTCTCTCAAGAGAGACCCCTCACTCCCTCAGATCACAGGCAAAGTCCGACCCGGTCTCTCAAGAGAGACCCCTCACTCCCTCAGATCACAGGCGAAGTCCGACCCGGTCTCTCCCGTTTGCTGGTGGGTGAGTGCTTCAAGTTCCGGCCCTTCTTTTTTTTAATTTATTTTTTTGGCCACGCCGCACAGCTTGTGGGATCTTAGTTCCCCGACCAGGGATTGAATGCGTGCCCTTGGTGGTGAAAGCGCTGAGTCCTAACCACTGGACCGCCAGGGAAATCCCAGTTCTGGCTTTAAGCAGCATCCCAGTGACGACCACCTGCCCAGCTCAAGAGCCCTGGCAACTCCTCCTCAGTGACACCAAACCGCAGTTCCCAGCCCCCTGCCCCCACCTCTAGGCAGCCAAGCTGGCTGCCTATGTCCTCGTCCCTCCGATGCTGACATTCGGGGGGCGCCCGTCGTGCTTTAACCTAACTTCCAGGCATGCGTGACCCAGACGGACTTGTGACTCCCTGACCCCACCTGAAGCCAGGCTCCTGGCTGAGCAGCCCCCCAGCTCCCCGTGTCCACCCAGTGCTCTCGGTCACCCCACAAGCTCAGCAGCACCAGGTCCCGGTGGGCACCCAGGCCTGACATGCACCCCGACCCTCGGGACACCAGGGCAGCCCCCCAAACGCACCCCAGACCACGACGAATGCACGTGGTCCTCCCGTGGGCCCCCACTGCCCCCACGATACACACGAGCCCTTTGAGCTCTCTGGGCGCTGACGGGGCCAGATCTCCGCTAACGCCCCGTCCTCCTTCCTCTTCCCAGCCCGGTCCCGCCGTCCTCTCTGGGCCACACCCTGCTGGGAGCTGCACCTCCGTGGGCTGGACCGGCTGTGGCCTAGCGGGGGTATGGGGAGCCCGTGCTGCCCCCCAGCTGGGAACAGGGGCCCAGCTGCGGGTGGGCGGAAAACACAGGAACAAAGCCCGTGTGTGGCTCGGGATCCCCGAGAGCAGAGAGATGGCGCCCCACCCCCGGGCCCCTGGCTGACCCTGTCTGGATGCCCAGACCTGCAGCCGGGCCCCCCCAGGGCACAGCTCCCACTGGCCGCGGGGGCTCTGCCTCTCAAGGGAGCCCCCGTCAGGCCCACCGACGGTGCCAAGCCCCTCTCTTCAGGGCCCCTGACTCGGTGTTTGTCACACAAGCCCTGACGCCACCGCTGAGGCTCCAAAAGCAAACCTGTTTGTGAGGTGATGCTCCAGAAGCCCCCGGGGAGGGTCCCATCGCCTTTCCTCTCTCTCGTCACAAAACGAGGCTGGAGGCAAGGTGCAGGCGCTTCCCCCGACTCTCTCCACTCGGTTTCCGTCTGGGAAACTCACAGCTTCCCAGGCAGCACTGCCAGCCGGGCCTCCGCCTCCTTCTCTGCAGCTCAAGGAGCTCTGGCCCAACGCCAGAGCTCCGCCGCTGAGCCCCGAGGCCCTGGGGCGCCCACTCTCCTTCCTCAACAAGAAGCTGCTTTGAAACAAAGACGGGTCCGTGCAGTTCCACAGCTGCCGCTCACCTGGTGACGGTGTGGTATTTCACTGGATGAACAAGCCACAAGGGACTCATCCCCACTGCTGACCACACCGGACCCCGGACTGTCCGCCACGTCCGTCCTGTGCAGGTCGTTCCTTGTGTTTCTGCTGGGTCTGCGCCCATGGGGCACCCACGACCCCCCGAGGTCATTGTGCTGGGCTGTACCCTTACCCGCCCTGGAGGTTCTGCCCCATCTGCCCCGAGGGTGGAGGGTGTTGGCGGCCTCTGAAGAAGCAGAATCCATCACACACACACCCCCGCCCACCCAGCACACGAGGCTCCAGTGCCTCCCGACTGTCCCAGGCTGAAAGCAGGTGGCAGCACAGATGCAAACAGATTCAGACCAAAACGGTGGGGATGGGACCTTTCAGGAGTCACCGCAAGTGACAGGGAACGTAAGAAAGAGTCAGCAGAGCCCGTGGCCGGGATGGCACGGGGACAGAGCGTCTGTCAGATGGGGTCAACGCGGCACTTTTTTGCCAGCAGCAAAACAAAAGCCAAACAGAACTTACGCGCCTGTCAACAGGGACGCAGATGGCAGCGGGTGGGGATGGACGCCCCCAGCGGCCAGAGGGAAGCCGCACACGGGCGATGGGTGATGGGCAAACCTTACAGCCATCGGAAGTGCTGAGGCCGAGTCGCGGAAGGAGACACACGACACAGCGCCACCACTGCACTTAAGTGTGTCCAGACACAACATGTCATTAGAAATAAAAGCACAAAAAGTGCTGTTAAGAGCAAAGAACGGGGAACTCAAGCGGGGGGGGGGGGGGGTCGGGGTGGGGCCGCGAGGACGGGGGACGCAAGCGGGCAAGCATGGCGGGCGTCGCGCTGTTTTCTAGGCCGTTCGGAAAGCTGAGGATTTATACATGAAAAAGAGCCAGGCAGCACCTGGGGAGACAGATGCCTTTTCAGACCAGAGCGTCCCGGACCATCTGCCCTTGGTGACCTGGTCTCAGGTGGCGCCAGGAGCTTTCTGTGTCCTCCCGCAGGTTCCGGACTGGAAGGCAGCAGGCGCTCCATCACAGACCAGCACTGCTGTCCACTGTGTCCAGAGCAGGGCCCAGGGAGCCCAGGACGGATGCTCAGGCTCCCTCCAGCGCGTGACCTCTTCCTGACCATCGACAGCCCACAAGCAGCCCGCCCAGCCTGGTGACCGAGGACGCGACAGCCAAGGGACAGGCAGACCCCCCCCCCCCCCCGCTTTCGCGTGCAGCAGGAGGGGTCGGCAACCTCCGTGTGTGTAGTTTCCGGAAGGAGTCCAAATGCCTCTGGAGTCAGAACAAGGGCTTTGAATGTCTTAAAAAGTGAAATCACAGGAGTTCCCTGGCGGTCCACTGGTTGGGACTCTGCGCTCTCACCGCAGTGGCCCGGCGTGCAATCCCTGGTCGGGGAACTAAGATCCCGCAAGCCGCGTGGCCCAGCCCCCAAACAAACAAACAAATGAAATCAACTTGGGAATGGACGGTCCTGTCTTGCTCCTTCTCGACAAGACTCCCCAAGTCACACCAGGGTTCCTAGTTGTTTGCTTGCTTTTGCTTCGTCAGGCGATGGGGGTCTGAGGCCTGGAGGGCTCCTCCAGCGGCTCCGGGGGTGGGGCCGGGGGACTGGAATGAGGAGGCGCCACTACAGAGAAGCGGCGGAGACCAGGCAGTGAACGAGGCCCCTGGGCTGTGATGGAGGCCGAGGTGGCAGGGAAAGCAGAGACCAGGGCGGGTGGCCCTCCAGGCCGGACGCCAGAAGACCCTTCTCTGGGGAATTCAACAGGCATGGGACAGACCTTGAGGACAGAAATCAGGGCCCCAAGGAGAGGCCTTGACGGAGAAAGCAGCTGAGCAGCCCCGAGCTTCTGGTCACCCTTCAGTGCCCTGGGAGCTGAGCCAAGGCAGGAGACGGGGCAGGGGGAGCTGAGTGCCCACCGGCAAGCAGGACGTGCTGCTTTGAGAGTCACCACAACAGGGTCCCTGGGGATCAAGACCAGGGTGGCAGAAGTGGAAATCTCACCAGGGGCCCCGGGCTACCAAGAAGATCCAACTCAGGACAGGACTTGATGTGGAGGCTCCGAAGGCCCCCAGAAGCACACGGGGAGCTCGAGGTGGCGGGCATCAAGGATGCAGCCACCAAGGTGACCTGGGGTCCTGCTTCTGGACACAGCCCACAAGGGCCAAAGCGGCCCCATCCACGGCCCAGCCACCAGAAGGAGAAGCAAGGCGCCCTGGAGAAAAGCTTCCACGACTCAGCCTGAGGACAGGTGAGGATCAAAGATCAGAGACCACCTGGCCCGCAGGCTGCCAGTGGGGGAGGAGCAGCCTCCTGGCTGCTCCAGGAGGGACAGATGGACAGGATGCAGTCGTGCAGACAAACAGACGAAGAAGCTGTCAGGAATAAATCAGCGGGATGAAAACATGGCAAGACTAGAGAGGAAACGTCCCACTGCTGAATGAAACTACGGTGTCCTCCGACTATTTCCCTGCGAGGTGTTAACTGGTGACCAGGGTCAATCACAGCTTTACCCCCCCGGAGAAACGAGCGGATGCCCCTCCACGGAGCCACCAAAGTGGGAACCACCAGGAACGAGACAGAGACACCATGTCTCCCTGACCTGAGGCGCTGAACCCGGCACCGCTGCAGTTTCCCTGCCACAGGTGCAGATCTGACGGTGAGAAAACGCAGGCGTCGAAAGCCGAGGAGAGGAGGATGGACGGCAGAGGCTGAACACCAGGCCAGGGGCTGCAGACCATTACAGCATCCACAACGCGCAGATCCTGCCAACGCCACGCACCTTTTCAACATTCACACCCTCTGGAACCAAAAATGATCAAATCAATAACATCTCTAAAACCTCTAACGTGCAATACAGACAGAACTACCCGAACCAAACCACCACTCGGGTGAACAACGTCATCCCACTGAAGAGCGAAGGACAGGAAGCTGGCCAGTAACTGCGCCAGCGGCGCGGAGAACACGCGCAGGCTCCAGACGACACCCCAGGCAGGCGAGGTGGGGCAGACAAGGGTGTGCGCTGCGGGGAAGGAGGGGTGGCCGCAGGACGCCTGTGCAGGACGCCGCCCCCCCCCCCCCCGCCCCGCCGGGAGGCCTGGAGGCAGGGACGCCCCCAGCAGCACAGCCAGCTCCTAAGCCTCATTCTCTGCTGGGCTGAACCAGCCTCCTTGGAGGAACGGCTGATGCCAGGGCTGGGGCAGGAACTGGGCCAGAAGGAGAGGGAGGGCTCCTAGGGTGATGGGGACTTATCAGAAGGACACAGGGGCCAGCGTGAGGGATGCAGTTTGAGAGAGAAAGTAAATAATAGCAAAGGGTTAGAAGCCACACATCCACCACGATCACTAAAGGGGGAAAGGAGAAAGCACTTCCTTCTGTTACAAAGTCAGATGACTGATGCAATTAGAAAATCTCCGTTTGGCAACCATGCCCATGATCACACTAACAACCGACTCGGGCTGGGTGAAAATTTAGAAATAACAGAATATTTAGTCTCAAAGTGTATCCCTACAAGGTACGTGTTAATAACAAAGGGCACTCGATGGAGGTCCAAAGGGGAGAAGACAGGAAACTTCCTTGAAGAAGGAGAAGGGGGAGGCGCCTATCCAGATAGGAGGGTTCCAGGTCACGTGCTGTATCGGCGCAGAAACAAGTAAACAAATTGGAACGGAGGCCCAGAGACTCCACACAAGCAGAATTCTGGTCCAAGACAGAGTGGGGCTGTGGCTCGTTGGCGAAGGGAGGCCACTGTCGCTGATGCTAGGATGGCCGTTATCCACACCAGAGAAAACAAACTGGACCCTGATCTCACAATTCTAGACAAATAACGATTAGCAACACCCACAGAGCACTTCCTAGGAAGCAGGTAGGGTCTGACCGAGCATCTCACACATATTAACTCAATGAATCTTCACAACAACCCTTGCGGAGGGACGCTGTCACCCGTGTGAGACACATGAAGTGGGGAAACGGCCTCTGGCCACAGTTCAGGGCTTGAACCTGCGCAGCCTGTCTGTGAAATGCAGCTGTGTAAACCCTTACGTTTAGAGGAGAATGTAAGAGAATATATTCCTGATTCTGGTATAGGAAAAGAGTGTCTTTTTTTTTTTCTGCCCACACCACACAGCTTGCAGGATCTCAGTTCCCCGACCAGGGATTGAACCCGGGCCCAGCAGTGAAAGTGCTGAGTCCTGACCACTGGACCGGCAGCGAACTCCTGAAAAAGAATATCTTAAACCAATCCCCATAAAGGAAAATATAAATAAAACAGACTGTGTTGGCTAAACTAAGAGCTTTTGTGCCATCAAAACGCACTATAACGTATTGTAACATTAACACACTAAATGACAAAGCGACAACCTGGAGGAGGCAGTTAGGACGTGACAAAGGAGAGGGAACGGATTCCTACAACTTAATAGGAAATGTGGGCAAAAGCACCAGCACAGGAGAGCGTTTCCAAACGGCCGATAAGCACGAGAGAGGATGCTTATCAGCCCTCCAGCGCCGCGTAACGCGGCACCGCACACCCGGCGGCACAGAGCAATGACACACCTACGACCCCGCAAGCTTCTGTGGTCGGGACTCTGGCAGCAGCTGTGCTGGGCAGTTGGCCGTCACGATGGCAGGAGGGGCCGAGGCCTCACCCGAAGGCCGGGGCGCCTGCTTCCAAGCCCACACGCGCAACTCCCGGCCAGCTGTTGGGGGAAGACCCCTCCGCGGGGCCGCCCGCAGCCGGCACCTGGCCTGCATTGGAACGGCTGAGAGAAAGCGCCCGAGGAGGCCCGAGTCTTTTTGTAACCTCGTCCCCTTCTCGTTTGCTGGTTTGCTGTTCGGAGCTCATTAGAAGGCCGGCCTCGAGGGGAGGGGCTACAGAAGGTGAGAATGCGGGGAGGGAGGCAAGGTCACGTCCAACCACGGGGGTCGACCTCACCAGCGGTCAGGGAGCTGGACACACCACCCGCCCCCACTGCCAAAAACCATCAGGTCTGACAACACCCAGAGCTGCTGGAAGGTGTGGATCCAGAAGCCCCCAGACACGGCTACGGGGCGGCTGGTACGAGCACTTGCGGAAACGGCGTGGCAGCCTCTTGAGAGCTACGCGCCTGCGCACCCTACACATCAGCACTTCCGCTCTCGAGGTTCCCCCAGGGAAGTCCTGCGAGAGCGTCCAGAGCGGGAGTGCCCGTCATGACGGCTGGGAAGTGCGACCGGCCACCCATCAGAGAATGAACGTGTGCTGTAGACTTGGCCCAGGAGTGAGGACGAGAAACGTCCTGCAATAGCCACGGCTGACGGCCGGCCAGGCCCTCTCTGCCCGGATGGTGGGCGGGCACGTGACCGCAGCACTTACCACTGGTTACCGGCCGCAGCGCCGATCCTGAGCAGAAGGCCTGCTCCCGGCTGCGGCGAAGCCCCGCGCGGCTGTGCTGGGCATCGCACATGGAGGCCGGCAGCGGCCGGGGGTCAGCGGCCCAGAGCCCAGCAGGTCCGGCTCACCCAGCCCCGCCGAGACCCCAGCTGCCCTCCCCAGTTCCGGCTCGTGTTTCCACCGCCCGTTCTTCTTTCTCAGCCCCCGTGACTCCAGGTGCCTCCACAAGAAGCAATTCTCATCCTGCGAAAGACCGAAGGTCAGCGGCCCCAATCTGACAACGAAAAACTGACTCCACCTTCCAGGTCGGCCGGGTAACAGGGCGGACAGGGCTGAACGCAGGGCTCGTGGGGCACTGCTCCCCGCCCAGGCCTCTGGTGACAAAGGTCTGAATTATTGCCCTCTCAGATTATAGCACAAATAACAAGAACCGAAACGTAGCCTTTTCCACCCAGCACGGAGTAGGTGACTCACGAGGCCAGGGTTGACTCTTAACTTTACTCCTGCCTAGAGCTGTCTTCAGAAGAGGGTGCACACGTGGGACTGAAAGGAAACCAGGTCAGCGACACGTAGCGAGAAGCACACCTGTGACACTTCCGTCACGTGCAGGCGCTGAGCCCCCTCTCCCACGGCCTGAACGGCCCAGCCTCCGCCAGCCCTGCAGCGAGGGCTCACGACCCACAGGGAGGGTGCCTGGTTCTGAAACGGGGGGGGGGGGGAGGCAGGACCACCACGGCACATTCTCCACCGAAGGGAAGTTTGCGTGGAGGTTAGCGAAAATGAAGATGTCAACTTTCCCATCCAGTTCCGTAGACCCTTAAATTCTAGGGCCTGTCAGCCTGGGGTCAAGAGTCCCTGTTCTCCAACAAACAACTCAAGATGTTCTCAAATGCCTGGTGAGGAAATCTAGGTTGGTTCAAATTGTCAGCAGGGCAGTTTAGACAAAATATACTTAAAGTCTACAAATTTTATACACTAATTCAGAAATTCCACCTCCAGGGATTTATCCTAAAGAAATAATCCAACAAAGGCCCAAGATTGTACATACAAGGATGTTCAAAAGCTTTGTTTTTAAGACTAAGAAGCTGACACTAGCCAAGTGTCAGATAAGAAATTTGTAACAAACCCTGTCACATAATGGGACACTGTAGCCCTGCAAGTTTTGACAAAAATAGATTTGTCACAGATTAAGTGAGAGCAGAGTTACAAGCCCTCTGCACAGTATGTTCCCGTTTAAAAAGTACAAATGGTTCAGAAGAACACAGGCGAAGTTACCAACTGTGGCCAGCTCTGGGAGCAGAATCTCAGGTCCTTCACATTTTGTTTGCATTTGGGCTCCTCTTCATTTTCTAATTTATGTGCACTGAACATGGATTTCTTAACAACAAGGACCTGTATATAGCACAGGGAACTACAATCAATATCTTGTAATAACCTGTAATGGAATGGAAAAGAATCTGAAAAAGAATGTGTGTGTATAACTGAATCACTGCTGTACACCAGAAACTAACACAACATTGTAAATCAACTGTACTTCAATTAAAAAAAAAACTTTAAAAAGAAAATGGACTTCTGTAATGTAAAAACTTTCCTATTCCCTCCCGTAATGTTCCTTTTCATGCTGTTTAATATTGTTTTATTCTGCTTTACAATGTTACTTACAAGTTTAAAGATTTTTGGTAAAGTACATTGCACTCTACTAAAAAACAAAGAACTTTAAGCCACTAAACAAAGAGTCTGCCTCTAAATAGTTTTTTTTTTTCTCTCTCTTTTTTATACAGCAGCGGTAGGTGAGCAAGGTCCTCAAGGCTTCAGAAGATGAGCTTGGGGCGGTGGGGCGGGGGCACTGCCTGGACCCCACAGGCCCCGTAAAACCCGCTACAGGAAAGTCACCTGAGGACTACAATGAAGTCTTAGCTCTGGGCCTGACTGGGAGTTTCCCACTCCAATTTACAAAGTAACAGTCCGCTAGGACCAGCGCCCGGCAGGATGTTAGTCATTATATAATTTCCAGTTTTCTAAAATCCTGCATAGAAAGACACCAACTGCAATGAATCTGCGGGCGATCGCGCCCTTTGGTTCCGGATCGGACGGAGCATCTTTACCCGGTTCTTTCGGAAGCGGTTGCACCTGCCGCTCGGAGGCCATGCCCCACTTCGGGGGGGCATCGGCGGGAGGGGGGGCTAAAACGCAAGGACACCCGACCCTGTGCCCCCCCATCCCGCCTCTGACAGCCCACCCCCACGACCCGGGCGCGGCTACCCCCACCCGCTCCGGAGACCCCAAAGCCCCGCCGCACCTGTGCCCAGCCGCCCCGCCTCAGGCGCCGTGCGGACCCGGGACGGGAACGCGGCGCCGGCCGTGGAGGCCTGGGGTCCGAGCGGACACCTGCGAGGTGGGGCGGCAACTCCATGCGGTGGACGCTGAAGGAGCGGACCGGTCGTGAAGGCGCGAGGGACTGTGCCCCCCGGCGGCGTCGGACGCCCAGGCGCGCGCGTGCCAAGGCCCTGGGGTGGCCCAGCGGCCGCGCCCGCAGAGGGTCCTGGGCCGGGGAAGGGAGGTGGCTAGTGGGGGGAACTTCGGCCCAGACGCAAAGGGCGACCCCCGCAGGCGACCCACCCCGCCAGCTTAATTCAGCGCTTCACCCACCGAGAAGTCCCCGGGCTAGACGCCGCGCGGGCCCCGCAGCCTCGGGGACGTGCACCGGGACCCGCAGCCGCATCCGGGCGGAGTTTCAACGCGCCGGGGTGGAGGACGCGGTCACCCGGGGCCCCGTCGCCCCCGCCTCCACACGGCGACCCGCCCACGTCTCGGCGACTGCGGCTCCCCGCGCGAAAGCCTGCGGGTCGGGCCCGGTGGGCGGGCCCCAAACAGACCCCACCCCCACCCCGATCCCTGCGGGCGGTGGGGCGGGTACGGGGGCGGGGCGAAGCGGGGCGGAAGTGCCACTACCGGTCCCGGAAGCCATGAGCTGGAAGTGACGCGACGGAAACCAGCCACGGCTCCCCGCTGGCCCGCGGGACTCGTTCCGCTGTGTCCTGAGCGTCTGGGCTTCTCGGCCGCCGCCGCTGAGCCGGTGGGGGGGCCACGCTGCTGGTCGATTCTCCCCCGCTGTCGTCCCCTTGGCACCCTCTTGGCCGTAGCACTTCAGCCCAGGCGGGGGTGGTGATCCTGGGTGACGGCGACCCCCATCGTCATCCCCTTGGCACCATTCGGGCTGTACCACTTCAGCCCAGGCGGGGGTGGGGCGAAGGCGATCCCCGCGGCCTTGGTACCTTCCGGGCCGTACCACCTCGGCTGGCGCCCTTCGCGGTTTTCCCCCTTGACACCTTCCGGGCTGTACCACCTCCGCCCAGATGGGGGGGAGCGATGGCGCCCCCTCGCGATATTCTCTGGCGTACCACTTCAGCCCAGACGGCGGCCCCCTGCGTCCTCCCCTTGGTACCTTCCGGGTCGTACCACCGCGGCCCAGGAGGGGCGACCAGTTCGTGGACCTATAAGTCCCTAAGGGGCCGTCCTCCGAGTTTTGGTTTCAAGGGACAGAAATTCCAGCCTCAACACGCCTCTCTTAGAAGAGGAAAGATAGAGGGAGTGTCTGTCTTCCCAGCATCCTAGCATCGGAGGAGCTCTGGGGGCACCTGGACCCTGAGGCCACGCCCCTGGAGAGGGCGCTGATTGGCCAAGCTGTGTGGAGCTCCGCCTGGGGGCGCGACCTCGGCCCAGGTGAGCGGCGGGCTGCACTGGGATGGTCGCATCTGCCGCGGAGCACCTGCCCAGACCGGTTCTCCTCCCCGCTTACTTTTTAACATGATTTTAAGGGGCAAGGGTACAGCTAATGGGCTTTTTTTTTTTTTTTTTTGTATATGTATCTCCTGCTTCTCTTTCAACGTCAGATTCACATATTACCTGTCTTTTTGTGGTGATTTAATTATCGGGAGAGAGGAAATCTCAGAATGTTAGTGTTTTCTTTTTTAAATTGAAGTATAGTTGGTGTGCAATGTTATATGTTACAGGTGTGCAATATAATGATTCACAATTTTTAAAGGTTATGCTCCATTTATAGTTCCTATAAAATATGGCCTATATTCCCTGTGTTGTGCAATATGTCCTTGTAACTTATTTTATTTATTTTCTGTTTTTAATTTTTTTTAATTTTTAATTTAATTTAATTTTTTTATACAGCAGATTCTTATTAGTCATCAATTTTATACACATCAGTGTATACATGTCAATCCCAATCGCCCAATTCATCAACCCCCACCCCCACCCCACCGCCCCTTTCCCCCCTTGGTGTCCATACGTTTGTTCTCTACATCTCTGTCTCAATTTCTGCCCTGCAAACCGGTTCATCTGTACCATTTTTCTAGGTTCCACATATATGCATTAATATACGATACCTGTTTTTCTCTTTCTGACTTACTTCACTCTGTATGACAGACTCTAGGTCCATCCACCTCACTACAAATGACTCAATTTCGTTTCTTTTTATGGCTAATATTCCATTGTATATATGTGCCACATCTTCTTTATCCATTCATCTGTCGATGGACCCTTAGGTTGCTTCCATGTCCTGGCTATTGTAAATAGAGCTGCAATGAACATTGCGGTACATGACTCTTTTTGAATTATGGTTTTCTCAAGGTATATGCCCAGTAGTGGGATTGCTGTAGTTCTAGTTTTAGTTTTTTAAGGAACCTCCATACTGTTCTCCATAGTGGCTGTATCAATTTACATTCCCACCAACAGCGCAAGAGGGTTCCCTTTTCTCCACACCCTCTCCAGCATTTGCTGTTTGTAGATTTTCTGATGATGCCCATTCTGACCGGTGTGAGGTGATATTTTCAGGAACAAGGGTACAGCTAATGGGCTCTGCTTAAAGCCTACTTTTTGGTCAAACTTTCACATATTTTTCTTCACATTATTTTAATAATTTTGTTTTTTATTTTTATTATTTTTTATTTTTGGCTGCGTTGGGTCTTCATCGCTGCGCGCGGACTTTCTCTAGTTGCGGCGAGCAGGGGCTACTCTTCGTTGTGGTGCGCGGGCTTCTCATTGCGATGGCTGCTCTTGTGCGCGGGCTTCAGTAGTTGTGGCACACGGGCTCAGTAGTTGTGGCTCGCGGGCTTAGTTGCTCCGCGACATGTGGGATCTTCCCGGACCAAGGCTCAAACCTGTGTCCCCTGCATCGGCAGGTGGATTCTTAACCACTGTGCCACCAGGGAAGTCCCTCTTCACGTTATTTTAAAATTAATAAAATTTCTCCTTTAGGTCTTGGCCAGAGGGTCAGTTAATTAATGGTGGTGTCTGCCCACCCCTGGGCGCGCACAGGTAGGGCTGGGGCCGCGAACTGCAGTTCAGGCCTCAGTGAGCTACTTGTGGTGATCAGTGAGTTAGTTACTTGTAGTCAAGAATTTCAAAAGGAAATGTATAAAAAGTATCCAAAACTTTATAGCAGGGCTTCCCTGGTGGCACAGTGGTTAAGAATCCACCTGCCAATGCAGGGGACACAGGTTTGAGCCCTGGTCCAGGAAGATCCCACATGCCGAGGAGCAACTAAGCCCGTGCGCCACAACTACCGAGCCTGCGCTCTAGAGCCCGCGAGCTGCAACTACGGAAGCCCGCGAGCTACAACTACTGAAGCCCGCGCGCCTAGAACCCATGCTTCGCGACAAGAGAAGCCACTGCAGTGAGAAGCCCGCGCACCCCAATGAAGAATAGCCCCCTCTCGCCGCAACTAGAGAAAGCCCACACGCAGCAACGAAGACCCAACGCAGCCAAAAATAAATACATAAAATAAATAAATTAAAAAAAAACCTTTATAGCAGAATCTTTCTTACAGTTTATCTGAGACAGTGCGTTTTAACAATTCTGAAATGATGTCAGGGGAACCTAGGCGCCTTCCCCTCCTGGACCAGGCGCCCCAGCATGGAGGACAGTTCGACCCAGGCCTCCAGCCACTGCCCGAGGAAGCCTTTGCTCCATGGTCACACTCCCAGAGTTTGTATCCTACCCTTTTTTCTTTGTGCTGCTAACAGTTGTTCACCAAAAACAATAAAACAGCCAGTTATTTTACCAGCAAAACGGGTTGATTTGGCAGCAGCAAAGAAGTGAAGTTCAGGACAGGCAGCTATGGTGAACCACAAGCAAGTCTGGTGAAGCAGAGGAGAAGGGCAAGTTGTTATAAACACTCTACTGGAGGAACTGGGTGGTGGCTTTTCATTGGCTGAGAGGCTGCCAGGCGGGGGACATCGTCCTTCCTCCTGCTGGTGGCAGTGAAGTATCTGCTTCTGGCCGCAGGTGCAAGGGACGCTCCGCCTGCTGGGATCTGTGTTGAGGCCCAGGGGCACCTGCCTGAGAGCTTACCCTTCTGGCCTCCCGACTGCATTTTAGTTGAGGTTCCCCTTTGTTAATTTTCACATAAGTCTTCTCTAAACACTGCAGGAGACACTGCTGCAGGTTGCGAGTCGTTTCACTGCTGGGCCGTGTCTGACTTCCAGTATCAGGGAAGGGGTCTGAGTGGTTTTACCTGCATTTGCTGGAGTTTCCACTTCTTCCTTTGACTGGATTCCAAGCAGCAGAATTTGGGGTTGAAAGACTTTAGACCGGCCAGGATTCTTCACACCCTTGTCAGCTTCAAATGTGACCATTTCAGCCTCTTTGCTGATTTGCACATTAGACACAAACTTGTTAGGAAGCGGCTCTCGTGAAGGAGCCCCACGCCGGCCAGCCTGCCTCTCCTCGTGGCATCTGCCGGCCTCTCCCAGTCCAGCCCCCGGCCCCAGCCCCCTTCTCACAGGCTCAGTCTGCATCTGGGCCATGGTCTGACGTGATGGCTGCAGTCAGGTGGGTTGGTGACTTGCTGGCCTGGAGGAGCCCAAGTTCCGAGGGGACGGTGAGGACAGCAGGAGGTGTGGACCTGGGCCTGGGAGCCCACAAGGCCCAGAGCACGGGGTCCCAGGAGGAATTGGGGAGCCCCCCCTCGTCCCTCCAGCCGCACCGCCAAAATCGCCAGGAAGCACTGACCCGCACGATGCTGCTTCCTAGGCGCCCGGCCTCCTGAGGGCAGCCCCTCGCTGGGCCGGGGGGTGCCTCTGGGCCCACGTTCTGAGCGCTCCACGTTAAGCCCCAGGGGTTCTCTTTCTTTTAAACAATCACCATTTGTTAGGCCTCACCACCTCGGGGTGCTCTTGGGCGCCCTCGCTTACCCCCTGTAATTAGCTTGCTCTGGGAGGAAGGCGGGCGGAGTGGTCAGTGCTGGGGGGGCCGTTGGAGCTGCCAGGACAGGAGGGGGGACGGGGGCTTCAGGCCGGCAGCCCATGTGGGCCACTGGGCACCCAAGGCATGGGGAGCTGAGTCTGCTCCAGGCTTCTCAGGGGCGGGGGGGACCCGTTATTCGGTCCACTGGGAAGGGATTTCGCAGATGTAATTACGGTCCTGAGCGTGTGGCCTTCAGACCCATCCAGGGGGCAGTGCCCGGAGGAGGGGAGCCTCACCAGCAGGTGAGGCCGGTGGGGTCTGCCTGGGCCTGGCCCCTCCAAACTCAGCCCTGGCCCACCCAGCAGGGCCCCTGGCCATCCCCAGGTCACTGGGCTGTGGAGTCGAGGCCTCTGGTTCCTTCCCGAGTGTCCTTCCCAGGCTCTGGGTCCAGCCGGGATGCCCACAGCCTGGGACGGCCAAGCAGCCTTTCTGGACGCTGCCCCTGGTCCCGTGGGTGATGTCTACTCACCTGTCATCCTGGCCATCACCTCAGCCGGCTGCCCCTGGGGGGCCAGAACCCCGTCCAGTGCGAGGGCTGTGCCCGAAGGTCCCTCAGTGAGACCCACTCGGGGTGGGGCAGCAGCAGCCACTAAGGCCTCTGGGACTTGCCCACTGAGCAGCAGATGAGGAAACAGGGAGT